ACCACCAGCCTCCAGCCATGCAAAGCAGGTGCCCAAAACCTGAGTTGCGCCCACGGCTTTTGCCAGCCTCCCCCTCTGTCCTTTGCAACCGCACCTCTGTGTCCCTGCCTCCTGCACTTGCGCTGTGGCACAGCTCCCGTGGCTTAATCTACCGGGAGTATGACCTGCAGAGCTGCCTCTTCTCCTCGGGGAGTTGACCTGGTGGGTCCTTTTCTGGCAGAGATCGCACGTCTGTCTTCTGTATTTGCAGTGGCGCAGAGGTTTGCAGAGGGGTAGGCATCTGGTGGTGTGTGCAGCTAAACTCTTTCCGCCGATTTGCTGAGCATCACATCTTTCCTGTATTCAGTCCCCCAGTTTCAAACCGCAGCCAGATTTTTCCCAAACCCAAATCCACACTGTGTTCTGAGCATCCCGATAGGGCAGAAAATCCTAGCGATGCCAAGAGACAATACAGAAAAGCTCACAATCTTTCTCAGAGGCAGGGGAAGGATCACACAGATCGAGCTTATGTACGGAATTGTGGGTCATCTTTATTTTTATTTTTTCTTTCCTAAAATATGTTGGTCGGCTGTGCCTTGCTTCTTTCCAAGCCGCTGGTTGTCCTTCCCGTAATGGAGTGACCACAACTGTACATCATATCCCAGCTGCGGTCTCGGGTGCCTCGCTCGCCGTGCCAGAATAACCTGGGGATGATTTATACTCTGCACTCCTAGATAAACACCTTAGGACCTTGTTTGCATTCTGTTTGCCTGCCAAAATGGCTGCGCAGATGGTTTTAATGTGCTCTTCACATGTAGCAGAAGCTGCATCAAATACAATCTCTCTGCAGCGGGAGAGAGAGAATGAAACAATCAAACCAGAACAATCCCACCCTGGAGTCAGGATGGGTGGGGAACGGGTTCGGTTCCCGTTTAATTTATTTCCATGTGTTGATCTGAGCGTGTATATAGAATCATAGGATCGTAGAACAGTAGAGCTGGAAGGGACCAGGAGGACCACTGGGTAGGACCCTCAGTGTAACCATCCCTCCCAGATGGCAGCCCAGTTTCCTTTTGGATGCCCCCAGGGAGGGAGAGCCCCCCACCTCCCCAGCCAGCTGGTCCCACTGCCCTATTGCTCTGACAGTGAGGAAGCTTTTCCTGATGTCCAGCCTGAACCTGGGTTGTTGCAACTTGGAATAGTCAACTCAGTCAATCACTCTGGCATCAGCAAGAAGAGATCTTGGCCTTCCTCTTTGTGGCAGCCTTTGAGGTCCTTCTGGAGGGAGCTCATGTCCCCCCTCAGCCTTCTCTTCTCAAGGCTGAACGTGCCCAGTTCCCTCAGTCTCTCCTCACAGGGCAGTGTCTCCAAACCCTGGAGCATTTCTGTTGCCCTCCTCTGCACCCTTTCTAATTTACCTGCATCTTCCTTAAATCTTGGTGCCCAGAACTGGACACAGGATTCCAGGTGAGGTCTGACTAGTGAGGAGTAGAGGGGAACTGCTACTTCTCACAGTTTGGAAGTAGCACTTTTGTTGATGCATCCCAAAACAGCATTTGCCCTTTTGGCGGCTGCATCGCATTGTTGGCTCACATGTAGCCTGTTGTCCACAGTGACGCCGAGGTCTTTGTCCTTTTCCGTTCTGTTGAGCCACGTGTTCCCCATCTTGTGTCGGGTATCCTGCCTTTTTTCCTTAAAGGAGCCCACGGAGCAACCCGTGAGCCCTCCTTCTTCCCTTTTTATCTTCACGACAATTTTTTTATTTTTTATTTGTTTATTTTTCGATTTATATCCTGCCTTTTTCCTACAAAGGGCTCAAGGCAGCTGACATCTCCTCCTCCATCTTATCCCCACAACAGCCCTGTGAGGTAGGTTGGGCCGAGAGTCTGTGACTGGCCCAAAGTCACCCAGTTGGCTCCATGGCTGAGCGGGGACTCGAAGCCGGATCCTCTGAGTCCCAGTCCCATGCTCTTCACCACTACGCCACACTGGCTCAGTGACTGGCTGTGTGGAGACTTGAACCCAGATCCTCCATTCTCACACAACACTCTAGTCACACAGCCACACTTCAGTGTGCACTTGACAGATTTGCCTTCTGCAACTGAACATGAAGCCGAACATAGCCAGGCACTGCAATCCACACTTTTCCCAAAGTTGCAAGGCAGGCCACCGAGACATGTGCACATAGAAAGGCTGTGCACAATTTCCACAAATTTAGGAAACTATCCACAAAGGATGCCTAAGATTCAGGGAACTGTACGAGAAAAATGCTTTCTTCCATGGAAACATAATTTATGAAAAATATCTACATTTGTAAAAATGTGCACAATATTGAGAAAACATCTATGAAAATGTATGCACTTGTGTGCAGACAACCAAAATAAAAATCCAGAATGAAACTGAGTTTGAATTAAACGAACTGTGAAGAAAGTAGAACTTGAGTAAAAAGGAGGTTGAGAAATTCATCTGCCACTAGCAGAACCTATTATATAGTTGTATTTCAATTTTAAATCTGATATGATAAAAGACATAAGCTGAGTCTGCTGGATTAGAACAATGGTCCATGGACTCCCACATCAGTTTAGACAGTGGTCGACCAACCTGGATGCAGGGCTTCAGGCACGGATCCAGCTAAGTCCATGCCAGCTGTTGCCCAGTGCCGTTGATTCCATCCTCCACTCATCGACAGAATCATATTTGGGGAGGTGGGGATGCACAAGGTTTTTTTTCTCATTCGCACAAGCATGCAAGCATGCAAGAATGCAAGCGTGCATTCACATGATCAGCCCCGCAAGTGAAAATGAGTCCGCACGTTTGCAAAATCCACACAGCCCAAAGAGCCCTTCGCCTGCCGCATCCACGGGCCGAGTTCAAGGGACTCTGAGTGCAGATGAATCCGCTGCAGGCTTCTCCGGCTTCCCTACTCCAAAGCACAGCAGGAAATAACAGTCTGGCCTGCCCCTGTTTGCTCGCCCGCAATCTTGCACCCGGGCTGGCCATTTGGAGTAGCTAGAATGCCTAATATTGCTGATCAACCTTTTTCCCGTGGATCGTTCCGACCCCCTTTGAAGCCATCTGCGCCAGAAATTAATGCGCTTATCCAAAGGATGGCATCTCCGCCCTGTCGTTCATCATGACTGAGCCCATGCATCTTATAAATAGATATCAGTGCTGGACAATTTAAGTGGCACATCACTCAGGGCAGTGCTTATAAAACCACGCGCCTCGCTGTGCAGGCACTGGATTTCACCGTTGTGACAAGCGCCTCATTTTCCGTCCCTTTCTGAACCGCTCCTGACTCACAATCTGCTCCTTGTGCTCACATGCGCACAGAGTTGATTTCAGTACGTTTGTTCCACCTCTTCCTTGCCCAGTGGCAGCACCATGTGATTCCATCAATGTATAGGCAGAGTTAGGGTGCCTTTGTCCCAGTGCGCATTGCTTGAGACTCACATGCATTGAACCTTATGGGACTCTGGATTCGGAGGTCCTCGGCTCTTCATCCTTGTTTCCCTTGCTGCCTCTTCTGAGAAGCCCCCGCACCCGATCGCCTGTGCCCCTTCCTCAAAGCCCTGATCCAAAGCCCCTTTTGGAAGAGGTGGATCCAACGCGGCTGGGAACCCCTACCACGTTCCTCAGGGACACAACCCTCCCTGAAGGACCACCTTTCCCTGTGTGGTCCAGATCACATGCCAGGAGCTATCCTTGAGGTTGTTCTCCGGTGTCCATCGCTAAGAACAGTGAGGGCAGCATGTTCTTTCCCCTCTCAAGAGACCTACCGTCCACTCTAATATTTGGGAAGACTTTGAGCCTTGTGACCGTATCACCAGCTCTTTGTGCTCCTTGCTGGTGAAGATGGAGGAAGAAATTGATTTCTTTTGCTAATCAGTAGGAGCAAAACAGATTTTTACACTGGGGAAACAGTTTGCATGCCTAAATAATTGTCATTATTATTGCACTGCAAGTGTTCCCACCCTTTCCTCCCCTTGGATGAACACAAGGTTCTTCCCCTCTTTGTTTTAGCCTCACACCAACCCTGTGAGGTGGGTGAGGCTGAGAGCCCGTGACCGAAGTCCCCCAGTGCATTCTGTGGCAGAGGGCGGACTAGAATCCCAGTCCAACCACTTTGCCGCAGCAGCTCTCCGTTATCCTTCAGACTTTGCACCCCTCTCAATGTTGTAATGACGTTCTCACCTAATCAGAAGCAATGCACAGGGGAAGGGTGTATATATGCACGGAGAAAACTCGTTCTTTCCTGTTCGTTGGTTGCCTTCATGGCACAGGAGAAATGAGCGTTCGCAAGAGCAAACGTCTGTCCCAAGCAATGGCAGAAAACAGCAGTGCCCGCCTCAGGAATTCTATTCCAACAGACACCACCGTCCCGTTGGCCAAGAGAGGGCTTCTGTGACGACTGCCAAGCCAGCCGTTCCTTGTGGGGAGCAGCCATCGTTGCCCAGTGTTTACTGAAGGCTGTTTGTAGCTTTTCTGCAAACCTCAGAGCTGATCCCAATCAGGGTCTTCCTGGGCGAGCTTCCACCTCTTTTCTAAGCAACGGGGGCTTGTGGGTGGGAAATAAAGCTAAACGAGGCACTTTTCCCCTCCACCACCATCAGCAAAGGAAGTTTTCTCGGAATATGGCATCCGGCTAGCATGAGAACCTCAAACCAGACTGCCCACTTCCTTGCTTGAAAGGATGACCCAAACGGTGGGTTGCGCCATCGCCATTTGGAAGGGATGGTGGTGTGAGTTTCACCTTGGGGAAATATGGCAGAACCAGCTTGGGGAATTATGGCAGAACCAGCAAAACCTTCCAAGGTGGGGTGCTGTAGGTGACTAGGTTGCCCCCTGTTTTGCCACGGTTGGCCTGTTGAGGAACATGTGAAGATCCCTGCCCAGGTGAAGCAGCCGGAGGACTGTGAGGAGCATCAACCGCAGCGTCTCGAGAAGACAGGCGACATTCCTCCAGCATGATTCACGCCTGAGTGTTCCTCATGGCCCCCTTTCTGGCTTTTCTCTTGCAGATGGATTCTGCGTCTCTGAGTGGGACAACCTCATCTGTTGGCCGGAAAGTGCCCCAGGAGAGCTGGTGTCCATGCCATGCCCAGATTACATCTTCGACTTCAACCATGACGGTAAAATCCCGTATTTTGGCCCAGATTTGCTGGCACACTTGAAGAAGCTGAGCTCTTCTCTTATGGAGTATAGACGGTGGCTGACAGTGTTGCAGAACTTGTCTCCAAGGGTTTGTGGATGTTCCTTGCAGCTGGTCAGCTGTATTTAGTTCACCAGTTTTATTGTGGCCTTACAAATTGATTGTGTGTGTGTGTGTGTGTGTGTGTGTGTGTGTGTGTGTGTGTGTCATCAGCCCTGTACAATCTCCGCTGGTTACCAGTTCCAGTCAGGGCCCGCTTCAAGGTGCATGTACAGTGGTGCCTCGTACTTTGAACTTAATTTGTTTCAGGAGGCTGTTTGAACTCTGAATCGTTCAAAGTCCGAATCAACTTTCCCCATTAGAAACGATGAAAAGTGAATTAATCTGTTCCCAGACCCATTTTGGCAAACTTGAACAGCAAATACAGCCTCCTGAAATGAATTAAGTTCGAGGTGATATACCGGGTGCGATCAAAAAAATGCAACAAATGTTTAAATCGAAAAAATGATTCCAGTAAAAGACACAGTGCCATTAATCCCTCTCAAAATGCTCTCCCTCGCTTCAGACCCTCTTCAGGAAGCCCCTCTTTCACGAGTGCCTTTAGCTGAGCTGCCATGGCTGCCCGGAGGCTTCAGCAAGTGGCAAGAGCAATGGGCGCGTGCGTTTGAAGCGAGGAAGAGTATTTCAGTGGGACTAATGGCAACGTCTCTTTTACTGTGATTTTTTTTTCGACTTGAGCACACATCAAGTTGAATGTTTTTGCCACAACTGCCATCCCGTTCACTTTGCTCGCAGTTCGAACTTCGAAGCATCCTTCGAACTGCAGAGTAGTTTCATCTCAACTTCAATGTTCAAACTTAGGATCGTTTGAAGTTAGAGTTGTTCGAACCGGGAGGCCCCACTGTATGAACCTATAAAGCCCTAAATGGCTCAGGACCTGATTATCTGAAGGAGCATCTCCGGCCATATATACGTCCCCCACTGTAAGATCCCGTTCGAGGGTCCTTCTCCAGAAGCTGCCCTCAGAGGACACACAGAGGGCAGCTGCTCAGGGAAGGGTCTTTTTGGTAGTGGTGCCTCATTTAAACCTTTTTATTTAAATGTCATTTTAATTGTTAACAATATTTACTTATCTGGCCAGGGCGACTTCTTTTCTTTTATAACTTCTTTTATATCGTTTATATTTTTTATTTATTTTATATTATTAATTTTAATTTTATATGGTTATTTTTATTTTTATATTGAATTGTATTGTGTTGTGTTGTAAGCCGCCCCGAGGCTTCGGCAAGGGGTGGCATAGAATTATTATTATTATTATTATTATTATTATTATTATTATTATTATTATTATTAATGGAATTGATGTACAGCTGGCACTGATGCCGTACATGTTCCAGTGCCAGGCAAAAATGTTTCAATTGGCATTTTAATATTTATTGATACCTACAGGCAGGTCTTTTTCTTACTTTTGTTCTAGTTCTTCTTTGCATTTATTTTTCTTGGGCTCTAGCATTTATCCATTTGTTTAATTATGTTGTGAATTGTTTTCTTTAGTTTTCTTTATTATGATATTGGATTGTTTTATTGATTATCACTCTGTTTTAATATATTGTGTTATGTTTGGATTTTATTGAGCATAAACCGTTTGGAGAACTAACATGGCTGAGCCGAACAGTATACGAAAAAATAGAAAAGAAAATTATAAATAAATAAAAGATAAGCTCTGTGGGAGCTTTTTAAGGAGGGAGGGGGCTGAAGGATGTTCTAACATCCCTTTAATGAAATGAATAAATACATTCACTTTGCTCCAGACTTTTATTAGCAATCTCTGTCTTTCGGATGTTTCTGGCATATATACGGACGGAATTTTGCTGCATCCGTTTTGGGTGGTTTGGGCCTTGCATTCCATCCTTAAAGGCGGCCTAGAAATCTTTGCCTGAATCAATATTAAGGCGTCCATCAGCTTTTCTGCCTTCCTCTTTCCCCTTGCTAGGCCATGCCTACCGTCAGTGTGACCTGAACGGGACGTGGGTGCTGGTACCCAGCAAGAATCGTACCTGGGCCAGCTACAGCGAGTGCGCCAAGTTCCTCAACATCGACACCAGGGAAAAGGTGAGCTCCCTCCCCATCCCCATCCCCGTCGTGGGCAGGCCGGGCCTCGTGCATCCCTTGACCTGAGCGAGTTTGGGTCCAGGCGCATCTTCCCAAGCTCGGTCTCCTGTGGGGCACTTAGTGCTCAGAGCCCAACCTCTGGAAGCTCTGGCCAACCGCTGGAGTCCCTTCGGCTCTGGCGTTCATGCATCCTCTCGAGACTTAACTCTTCCCAGTGCCTTTCCCTGTGGCTTTTGCACATTTTATTTTATTTATTTATTTATTTATTTCGATTTATATCCTGCCTTTTTCCTACAAAGGGCTCAAGGCAGCTTACATCATTCTCCTCCTCCATCTTATCCCCACAACAACAACCCTGTGAGGTAGGTTGGGCTGAGGGTCTGTGACTGGCCCAGAGTCACCCAGTTGGCTCCATGGCCGAGCGGGGACTCGAACCCAGATCCTCTGAGTCCCAGTCCCAGGCTCTTAACCACTACACCACACTGCCTCTCTTCCAGCTGTGATCTGAGCACGCACTCGTGTGTGCAGTTTTGTCTCTGATGAATGTATTGTGTTGCTTGTATTCTTATATTTAGGGTTGTTTTATGCCATTGCTTTTATATTCACTGCTTTCCAACATTTGTGGAAAGTCATAGATCGTTCCATTACGTTATTAATAATGATAATTCATTCAAGAAATATCATTAAATGATTATAATGTATTAAAGAATAATTCATGGAAGAAAACTCTGCTCCAAAACATAAATTCACGGCCCAAGCCTGGCATTTATTTTAAATTGGGGGATTCCGTTCTGAATTTGGAGAAGTATGAATTTTTGAGAACTGAATTATGTTTAAGAACGAGGTGAACGAGGAATTTTTGAGTTTCTCAGACATGCTTATGTTCCTCCTCTGAAGCTTGTGTTGTCTCGTTCCTGCTCCCAAATCTGAGAACAGTGTTTGTTCCTTTTTGAATCAGAAGTGCATGCATTTTTGAGCAAGGAAAGGCCCACTTTTCAAAGCACACATTTGAGGTGTGTTTCTAAAAGGAGACATTTTGCAGATATGATTACGAGCTCCAGAATGTGCAAACTTCCTGCAGAAATCATGGCCACATTCATGCTTGCATCTGGGGTTGCAAAGGGGGCTTTTTGTGGGATGTTGCAACGTGAACGAAATTCACATCCATCCGCAGTTCAGTGGATGAGATGCTTCGCAAGTTGCGAATTCTGTAAATTAAACTGCAGCCCAAAGGATTCTCCTCCTTGCCCTCCCTGCCAACCGCTTTTCAGGCACTGAAGGAAGGTTTTCCGCATCTCTGCTCACTGATGAAGATGATGCATATCAAGATGGCGGCATTTTTGTACAAAGCACGTGTCCAGCGGCTTCCTCTCCTGGACATAAATCTTCAAACTTGTAATGCTCTCTATGTGGGGCTGCCCTTGAAGACGGTCCAGCAGTCGCAACCGGGCAGAATCGGGCTGCTCAGCTGGTGACTGGTACTGCCAGAGTGGCCCATATAACCGGTGCTGGAAGAACCTCACTGGCCACCAGTTGCGGCCCAGTCCCAATTCAAGGTGCTTGTATTGACACGGAAAGCCCTCAATGGCTTGGGGCCCGGCTATCTAAAGGAGCGTCTGCCCCCGTATATACCCACCCGCCCCCTTAGATCAGCCCAGGAGGCCCTTCTGCAAGAACCGCCCCTCAGGGAGATGAGGGGCGGGGGGCAACCAGGAGAAGGGCCTTTTCCGCTGCTGCTCCCCATCTCTGGGACTCCCTCCCCAGGGAAATTCGCGTGGCGCCATCTCTAGTTTCCTTTCGGCACCAGGCAAAGACACACCGTTTCAGGAAATTTGTTAACACTTAGCCTGAATGCTGTGGCCGTTTTTGTCTTGCTTCTGTAGATGTTTTAATCCGTTCTGTTTAAATTGGTCTTAATGTGTTTCACTTTAATATTTTATGTGTTGCAAGCCACCTAGGAAGGCTCGGCAGTTATAGGTGGCATATAAATACATGTGTGTATAAATGCATAAATAAAACCCAGGGTGACCATCCCAGGGCCCATGGCAGCTCCTGCTGCTTGGCACTGATGGGCTTTGGAATCCAACCACCCCTGTAGGGCTGGTCGCCCCATTCTACATCCCACGACTGGGTGCAGTGGCGAGGCGCTCTGCCCTTTCGGAGAGCCATCCCTGCGAAGCGAGGCCGGAGTGGAGCTGACCTCCCGCCCTTCCCTGTGGGAAACCTGCGCATGGAAAATGCGCCTTCTCACTCGGTCCACACCCACTGGCTGCTTTCACCGTGGCTGATGCCTTTCTGTTTATTTAGTTTCTGAATAGATTAATGTTGGCAAGCGCAGGGTTCCAGCAGTGTCTCTGGCCAGGAAAACATTCCCAGGTTGGGGTTTCTGATGCAATATGGCTGAGGTTAGCATTCCAGAAGAGCCAGGCAGTCAAGCCCGGATTCAAAACCATTCAGAAGCCCCGGTTGCTTCACGCTGGCTTGGAAGAGGAAGCCGCACGTTTTCCCAGGCTGGGGACCACGGATCACGACCATGGAGAGGCGGGGGCTTTTCTGAGTGATAAGAGCTAGGTAGTGTTGGTTTGCTTTTCGGTGTGTCTGCTGGAGAAATTACCTTCTGCCTTTCAGGACAGGGCACTCTCCAGAAAGCACACGGCCATAATTAAAGCCATACAGAAGAACGTTTTAGGCTCATGATGGCTTTTGAGAAACGCATCAAACCAGCCGGTGGCACAAGTGAAGAAGCAGCCATCAGTGGATAGCCACTCTTGGAAAAAGGAAGGGCGAAACAAAAGGCGTCGGAAAGGCCGTTGTAAAAGCTAACAGAAGGGAAGCTTCTTTCTTCCAGAAGCTTCCTCACCAAACCGCGGAGGACCTGCACCCATCCATCCAAACCCTGCTTGACCACAGCCGAGACAAACAGGACAAGGGATGCTTTGGAAGCCCAGGGCAACAGTGGGGAAGGTCAAGTCCCATCATCCCCAGCCAGCGCTATGTACAGAATGGCACTGGCTGTTTTCGATGTTCGATGTTTCTTTGATTTAGTATTTTGATTGCATTGTATTTTCTTGGTTTTGTGGATTCTTGCAAATGGCAACCGAGAGCTTCAGCTATGGGGCAGTATAAAAATCTTTTCCTCCTCCTTCCTCTTCCCTGAGGGATTTTGCCCAGCTTTGCAAAAAGCATTTCCCTGAATCCATCAAAACTCCTCAGACATTTTGACCTGAGGAGGAAAATCCACAGACTTATTCGGCCTTTCATTTAGCTGGCATTCCCCTAGAAATACCAATTGTGTGTGTTTTAAAAAAAGACAATTTTCCCAGGTGAAATATTTCAAATATGTATTTCTTTATTTGAAATATTTTTATGCATCTCCTGAAACCTGATTAAACAAGTTCATCTCTGCCTACCTGTCTGTTGGAACTCTGGGTTAACCCCCGTGGCATTACAGAGAGACCAAATTCATTCCGTTTTTCCAGCAGTTCTCCTAGTACCGGGTATATATTTTTCCTAATCCGACCGCATATTTGCTACAGGAAATCTTCCATCGACTCTTTTTGATTTACACTGTTGGTTATTCCATCTCGTTGGGGTCCCTGACGATCGCCGTTCTTATCTTAGGCTATTTCAGGTAACTGGTTTAAACATCCTCTGCTCATTCTCTCTCATCCGGTTTAGCTTTCCGTGTGTGTGTGTGTGTGTGTGTGTGAGAGAGAGAGAGAGAGAGAGAGAGAGAGAGAGAGAGAGAGAGAGAGAGATCCCTAATTGTAATCCCTTGTGAAGCGATTTTGGCAGTCCTAGGGAAAGTTAATGAAAAATTCAGCTAGGTGAAAAGTTAGCTGCCTTTATAATGAACTTCACTTTCGTTAAATATCTCCATTTCAAAGTAGTTAAAAGTTAAGCTAAAAAGAAAACCGTGAAACATGGTGAATTGCCCACTAGCGTTGCTTTTTTAATTTATTTAGGGAGTCACTTTGCATGTGGAAGGAAATTAACTAAGCAGTGAGCAGAAAAGAATTGGCGAGATTTAAGAGTTGCTGGTGAGAAGGGATATCGATCTGAAATTACCAGCCATATCTTGGATAAAAGCATTGGGTTTGGTCCAATGTTATACCAAGGGATTTCTAAGAAATCTAATGTGTGTGTGTGGGGTGGGGGGTGAAAATCCAATGGATTTGCATGGTGCACCCCCCCCATCCCAGATTCTGCATCTTAAGCCCCACACCAGCTAAAATTCACAGTGTGCAAGGCCGAGCCAGGCTGTGGGCTTCCACCTCTAAGACAGGCCACGACTTCTGTGTTGTTTTAACTGCTAACGAAATTTGCTCAAATTAGCACTTCAGAAGCTCCAGTGTAATTTGCAAACAAGCAACCAACTTCTGCAAATTGTACTTGGTGCAAATTAAAATTTGTGGACATGGGCTGATTTTGCACAAATTGCACCAGAACTGTGTATTTTTCAGGGTGCATATTTGCACAAATTTCATTAGTGGCAAAGTATGTGAAAATGATCGGACTTGGCCCACTCCTGGTCATTGGATAGGAAGAGAGCAGGAAATCCATCGAGCTTAAACGAGCAAGATTTCCCTGCTTCTGAATATGCCTGGATAGATCCATTAAATGGGATGAGGGTTAAGACATTGGATGTAATCCCAAATCTTCACATGTACCCAGTTTCGTAAGCCACTGAGTATGTAGAGATATAAGTACTGCATGTCAAAATGCATATCTCTAACACACGCCAAGCAGTGTTCGGTAGGAATGAAGTGAAGTGAAAGGAGAGAAGCATTTCGGGAAATAGTCCCTTGTTTGAATTTCCTCCACTAAAGTAAGACGATGCAAAGATCGAGCCCAGATCTCACTTCTTTCCCACTCTGGGCCCTGGCCAGGAAGTGAGCTGAACAGAGAGCAAGGCTGTGAACGCACAGAAGTGCTACACAATGCGTTACACAAAATGTACAAAGTACGAAACGCTTCGCACGAAGTACACAAAGCGCTTAATCCTTTGCCTGAAGTGGGCATAGCCCCCAAGTCAGGTTTGTGGAAGCAAAACTCGGCTTGCACAGAGGACATGTGGGCAGCCCCATAGATTCACTGGGGCCCAGGATGTCCACACGAACACTCAGCATGAGGTGGGCATGGGGCAGAGAGAAAGTGTGCCAGCGAGCAGGGGGCCAAGCTGGGGGGCGCTCCCATGGATTCCGACCCCAGCTGGTTTTCTGACGGGCAGCCGGCTGTGGATGCTGTTGGCCTAAGCGGTCTCTGGGTAATTTATGGGGTTGTTCAGCAATGGGACTCCGTTCCTGGCTGATGGGCCTTGCAGAGGTGGCGGACCTTGATGTCCAGCGCCCCTTCCTCTTTCCAAATGTTTCCTCTCCCCCCGCCCTTTCCTGATCCAGGCGTCTGCACTGCACCCGGAATTACATCCACATGCACCTGTTCGTTTCCTTCATGCTTCGAGCCATCAGCATCTTCGTGAAGGATGCGGTCCTCTACTCCGGCTCCGCACTGGAGGAGATGGAACGGATCTCCGAGGAGGACTTCAAGTCCATCGCTGACGAACCGCTGGTGGACAAGTCCTCGCTGGTGCGTATCCGTCTGGGGCAGAAACGTAGAAACAGAGCGAGTCAGAAGGGGTCTCCCGGGCCATCTAGTCTGACCCCCGGCTCCAGCCGGCTCCGCTCACGACATGCCCACCATGTGCATGTCCAGCCTGTCTTTGAGCACCCTCACAGATGGGGCCTCACCACCTCCTGGGGAAGCCCATTCCACACCCTGGGGGTCCTGACTGTCAGGAAGTGCTTCCTGGCTTCTAAATGGAACCTGGGTTCCTGGAGCTTGGCTCCATTGGAGAGTGTCCTGCCTTCCTCTGCAGGGGAGAACAGGTCTCTCCCCACCTCCGTGTGACACCCCCTCACATACCTGTATGTCGCCAACAGATCCCCTCTGAGTCTCCTCTTCTCCAGGCTGAAGAGACCCAGTTCCCTCAGCCTCGCCTCACACAGCATCCCTGCAAAGCGGCCACCAACCTGTGAGGCCGGTTCTGCAAACTCCATTGCTGGAAGGAGGACCAGGTTGAGTGATGAATTCTGTCTTCCGCTCTGAGATAGAGAGATATTTCTTTCTCTATTGCATTTATTGCACTGATCATTCCGGGTAGCTGCTGGCTGTCTTCCTCTCACGAGGAACCCAGGGGACTCGACATGCCCTCACTTCCAACACCCCTCTTTATATCGGAGGCCGCTGCTGTGAAATGACCCTGCCGCGATGCAAGGGCACGCAACGGTCTTCTCTAACGGCGTTCCTGCCCCATGTGCCGGACTGCAGTTCCCATCATTCCCAGCCAGGACCCCAGGGTGGGGGGTCTTGGGCGCTGTAGCCCAGCCGAGCTGGCAGGCAGCGGCTTGGGAGAGAACGGCCGGTGCCTTCGGGTCTCTTTTTAAGGCGAGGTTCCATCTGAGCAGCCGCCAGAGAAATCCTGGGTTCTCCCCGGCAGGAAAGGCTGTTGTGGCCACGGGGGTGGGCGGAAGGGGAGAGCAGCAAGGTGGCCTTAGCGGCCAGGTGGGGGGCCCCCGGCGGGGTGCCGCTGGAGGCTGGCTGGAGCGGTGGGTCGCCACACCTGGCTCTTGGAGCGCGGATCGGTGGGAGTGCCTCTTGCAAGCCACGGTCCCTTCGGTCCGCTGCCAGAGCTAAAACTGGGGACGGTGTCCATTGCCCAAGCCTTCCAACCTGCGGTGCCAGCAATGTCCCAGTTCCAGACACCGAGAGGCACGTTCCGTCTCCCACTACTGAGCCCAGCATCCCCATCTGGGGCAGGTCTCTGTTCTGCTCCCTGAAGACCGCCTTCCACATGTTCTCACAGCAGGGCAGAATCCATCGCCCTGCAGCTATCCTTGGAACTCCAGATCCCATCAGCCCCAGCCAGCAGGGCTAGTGGTCAGGGATGCAATCCACTGTCATCCCACCTGGAACTGACCCTGTTTTTCTCTGCTGTTCTCATGGAAGCAAAATTTCTTGGCCTTTATGGAGGGCATGAAAATACATCTTACCAGCTGGGTCTTTTAAAATAAGTAGCTAAGGTTCGGATGCCTTCACTGCTTTAATGTCTCCAGTCTCATCGTGGTGTGGTTTTATTTTTAAAAACGGGTGCATCCCACCATGAAGCCGTGTTTAGCACAAAACGCAGAATGTACATGGTAATTATGAATATTAAAAGCCAAGGAATTGAGCTCTGCCACAATTTTCAAGTGGCATTCATCATTTTTGCCATTCTGGAGTGATAAAAGCAGAGGATGTATAAAAATGACGCGAGCATAAAGGAAACAGTGGCAGCCTTATATCATGCTACAAATGAACATTATTTGCACAGGCAGGCGCATTTGTCATGTGTAGACTTTCCCCAAATGTCAAAATGCTATTATCATCATCATCATCCGTTGAAGAAATTCAGAAAAGTGGAAATTTTCTCAGATGACTGAGTTCCAGGTTGCATATGGCTTGGAAAGTGCAAAATTAGTGCATAGCCATTAAAACAGAAACGAAAATAATGCTTTACTCCATTGGACCTGCCCTGCAGGGCATCTCCAGAACTCTGCTCCTGGAATTCCCTTCCGAGTCCAGGACTGCATTTTTATTTCTGTGCTGGTTTATCATCCTTTTATTGTGCCACATTTACGCCCAGGTAGGACCCCACGGGGCTAGCGTAGCTCCGTTTTATCATTGCAACTGCCGTGTGAGTAGGTGAGTCTGCGCGTCCTTGGCTGGCCCAGATGCACCCGGTGGGCGTGATGGCCGAGTACGGACCAGAACCCAGGCCTGCGGGGTCCCTAGTCCAGCTGTCCGACCAGCACCCCACTCGGCTCGCTTTTGGCCTAAGTCCCGAATTCCCGTGCCTCGCCCTGAGAGAGGGAGACATCCTATGGCCTCGGGCATCATGCAGCAAGACCATGGGATCCTTTGGGTTCGGATCCAAGATTTTGCAGCCAACACTGGAATCACTGAGCTGGGAATCCACACCCCATCATCCTGAGCCCCCAAGGCAGCCACACGAAGACCTGCCCCCGCTGCTCTCTGAGCCTGGAAACTCAGCCTGGGAGGGGAATAAAGAGGGTGGCAGAAGCCGCGGCCTGAGCCTGCACCCCCCCCCCATTCACAGGCACCCCAGAGAGATGGCCAATGTATGGAAAATATATATGGAAAATGCAGAGTGAGACACGTGGGGAGGTGAACCCCCTCTGCCCCCCAGAAGCCTCTGATTCGGGGGCTTACGTTGTCAAGGGTGCAACCCGCAGCTCGGCAAGAGGTTTCCTGGCAGGCCAGTCCGTTCCATGGAGGTTGCCCGGCCTTCGATCCTGGCCCCGCTGCCTCCACTCAGTGCTGAATTATCTTTCCCACTGATGGACGGCAGGACAACACGCCTTCTGCACAGTGGCTGCTCTGCGTGGCCACTAGATGGCGCTGCCCCCCATTGAGATCCCAGTCCCGCCGAACAAGCCCAGTAGCCTTCTTCTGCTGGTCCCAGCAAAGCCGTTCCAGTGTGGACAGGTGACTGGTGATATGCGGAAGCCCAGAACGATTATCCCAGAGTTCATTTTTGGCATGGGAGCTTCACTCCCCCAGGGCCTTTTGGACATAACGGAGCACCAGAAAAAAATGGCACGCATCTTCGTGGCCCAACAAACTGTGAATCATGTTTTATGACCTGCCAGGATTTAGAGGACAAAATCCAAGCAGCTGCGAGAAATTAGCATCCTCCTTCTTGCCAGCATGAATTTGTAGGCCATGCTTCATCTCTTCCTGAATCCAAGATCGTTTCAGGACCCCTCTCATCCTGCCGGCCTATCAAGTATTTATATGACAATTGGTTAAAATGACATCCCACCTTTTCCAGGGGAGAAGATGGCCAAAAAGCAAAATAAAACATTTATTTATCATTTTGCACCCAGCATTTTTACCCCCCCCCCCCCCCCGGGCATCCTAAGGAATGCATAACAAATTGCTGAGGTGGTATTTTTTCACTTTAATAGCAGCATGCAGGGTCCCTGTGTGTGTCAGGAGCACCAGGCGTGGGGTGCTGGGGAGGGCGGAAGCCGTCTCACCCCGCCGTTCCCCCCTCTGTGCTTTCTGCCTCTTGAAAAAGCTCCAGGGTTTCTTGCTTTCCTCCCCTTCAGCCCAGTGAGGGTGCACAGGATGGGCAATAAGTTGCCCCCTGGGTGGGTGGTCCCAATCAGGCTCAGGGGGCCTGGGCCCCTTTGCCAAAGTGAAAGGATGGCGGTTGAGCTACATGCTTAATGCTGCCAGTTTAGTCCAGATGGATTCTTTGGAGGCAGAACAGGTAAGACTGGAATGTGGTCGGTTCATGAATGAATTCAACGAGAATGATGGGATGCTCCCAAGAAGAGAATGAAAATTTGCGATCTCTGCCCCCAGTGTATGGACGTGGAGGGGGGGCAGCCATGAAGGGGGTGGCAAAGGAGTGAAGCCAGTTCCCTGCACAACTAGCCTGAGACAGGCTGGGATATTTATGAATGGCAGGATGGCGTTCAATGTGGAGAAGTGCAAGGTCTTGCACTTGGGGGATAGGAATGGGTGTCATAAGTACAGGTTAGGGGACAAGTGGCTGGAGAGCAGCACTTGTGAAAGGGACCTCGGGTGCTGGTTGACTGCAGGATAAACATGAGCCAGCAGTGTGATGCGGTGGCCAAGAGGGCGAACGCCACCCGTGGTTGCAGAGCCAGAAGCTTGGCTTCCAGATTGAGAGAGGTGTTACTACCCCTCTATACAACTTTTCTCCAGTGAAGAAGAGCCTAATACTGGGAACAATAGATAGCAAAAGAAGGGGACGGCAGAGGATGAGGGGGCTGGATGGAGTCACTGAAGCAGTGGGGGTGAGCTTGAGTGGACTCTGGGGGATGGTGGAGGACAGGAAGGCCTGGAGGAATGTTCTCCATGGGGTCGCGATGGGTCGGACATGACTTCACGACTAACAACAACATACAACTTTGGTGCACCCGCAACTGGAGTATTGTGTTCAGTTCTGGGCTCCACATTACAAGAGGGATATAGCCAGGTTGGAATTGGTGCAGCGAAGGGCCACAAGGTTGGTGGCTGGTTTGCAGGGAAAGCCGTATGAGGAGAGACTGAGGGAACTGGGTCTCTTCAGACTGTAGAAGAGGAGACTCAGAGGGGATCTGTTGGCGACATACAGGTATGTGAGGGGGTGTCACACGGAGGTGGGTAGAGACCTGTTCTCCCTGCAGAGGAAGGTAGAATGCACTCCAAGGGAGCCAAGCTCAGGGAGCCAAAGTTCCATTTGGATGCCAGGAAGCACTTCCTGGCAGTTAGGACCCCGAGGGTGTGGAATGGGCTTCCCCGGGAGGTGGTTGAGGCCCCATCGGTGCGGGTGCTCAAGGATATGCTGGACATGCACATGGTGGGCATGTCGTGAGCAGAGCCGGCTGGAACCGGGGGTCAGACTAGATGGCCTGGGAGACCCCTTCTGACTCGCTCTGCTTCTATGTTTCCAGGAAACCGTACCCCCAAACTTCCTGCAGTCAGATCACACCTGCCTGTGCTTCCCAGCCAGCCAGGCTGATGAACAGCTCACTGGTCTCAGGGCCTGATCCTTCTTGGTGCTGAAGCAGGGTGCGTCGGGTGCTGGCACCCCGTCGTTAACGTCGCTTTCTCCTCCCTCAGGTGGGCTGCAAGATGGCCGTGACCCTGTTCCTTTACTTCTTGGCCACCAACTACTACTGGATTCTGGTGGAAGGCCTGTACCTGCACAGCCTGATCTTCATGGCGTTCTTCTCCGAGAAGAAGTACCTCTGGGGGTTCATGCTGTTCGGCTGGGGTGAGCCTCCCTCCCTCCCTCCCTCCCCTCCCCTCCCACCCTGTCCTTGAGGCCCAGCCACTTGTACAGGACCGGGGAGACCCAACCAGCAAGGAGGGGGCGCAGCTTATTCGGGGAGCTGCAACGGCGATGAAGCAGCCTAGAGTAATTCAGAAGCAGACTTGCGGATCTGCTTGACGAGGTTTCGAGGTGGCTGGATGGAGGGGGTGCAGTGGATGTGGGTTACCTGGATTTCAGCAAGGCCTTTGACAAAGTGTCCCAGGATATCCTGGTGGAGAAGCTGGGGAGTTTTGGGATACACCAGAGCACCGTCTGGTGGATTAGGGCATGGTTGACTGACCGAAAGCAGAAGGTAACCATTTGCGGGGAATCATCGGGATGGCGGCCAGTGACAAGCAGGGTCCCCCAGGGCTCTGTCCGGGGGCCGATCCTGTTTAATCTTTTCATTAACGACATGGAAGAAGGGGTGAACAGTCTGCTGATCAAATTCGCAGACAACACTAAAACTGGACCAGTGGCCACAACTGAGGAGCAGGTACTCCAGATCCAGAAGGATCTGGACAGACTATGGAAGTGGGCAGGAGACAACAGGATGGCGTTCAGTGTGGATAAGTGCAAGGCCTTGCACTTGGGGCATAGGAATATGTGTCATAAGTACAGGTTAGGTGACAAGTGGCTGGAGAGCAGCACTTGTGAAAGGGACCTCGGGGTGCTGGTCGACTGCAGGCTAAACATGAGTCAGCCGTGTGATGCGGTGGTCAAGAGGGCGAATGCCACCCGTGGTTGCATAGCCAGAAGCGTGGCTTCCAGATCGAGAGAGGTATTACTACCAATCTGTACAACTCTGGCGCGCCCGCAATTGAGTATTGTGCTCAGTTTTGGGCCCCTCATTACAAAAAGGATATAGCCAGGTTAGAATCAGTGCAGCGAAGGGCCACAAGGCTGGTGGCCAGTTTATAGGGAAAGCTGTATGAGGTGAGACTGAGGGAACTGGGTCTCTTCAGCCTGGAGAAGAGGAGACTCAGAGGAGATCTGTTGGCGACATACAGGTATGTGAGGGGGTGTCACACAGAGGTGGGGAGAGACCTGTTCTCCTTGGCAGAGGAAGGCAGGACGTGCTGCAACGGAGCAAAGCTCAGGGAACCAAGGTTCCATTTGGATGCCAGGAAGCACTTCCTGACAGTCAGGACCCCCAGGGTGAGGAATGGGCTTCCCCGGGAGGTGGCTGAGGCCCCATTGGTGCGGGTGTTCAAGGACAGGCTGGACATCCACATGGTGGGCATGTCGTGAGCAGAGCCGGCTGGAGCCGGAGGTCAGACTAGATGGCCCGGGAGGCCCCTTCTGACTCGCTCTGTTTCTATGTTTCTATGAAGTCGGGGGTGAAGATCTGTCTTGAGTGGGCAGGGCTTGCGGGGAAGGCCAGACTTGGACTTCCCAAGCTGCTTCGGAGAAGTCTGGGAGAAAAGTCCAGGGGGAAAACGAGCTCGTTCTGAGCTTGGCCGAGCCTGTTCACCAGTTACTCATGCGATGACTCCACCTGGTCAGAATTTTTGGGACAGCTGTTTTTTGATGACTACCAGACACGCTTGGCCATGCCTCTTGAGGTCCTGGAATGCAGTTGTGTGTAACAGGGAGAGACAACCACCTCTCGCCATAAGAGCTAAAAGTGGACACTCCTGGCAAGCCAAGTTTCCAGAGACCAGGGATGGTGAGGTGCTTCCTCACTGGCATCCCATTAATGCTCCACGGAATTGGTCTTTCCAGAGTTTGCGGACTTCCCCTCCTGCTTTCTGGTCCCCGAAAGCAAGCTGAGCCGAGAAGTCCACAAAAAATCGTGTAATGAAGCCTGCGCGACTGGCACTCTCCTTCCGCGACAAGTGAAGCCGCTCAAGGTCACAGCACAGGCTGTGGGAAAGGGGCAGCCGTGGTGCAGCAGGGCCAGAGTCATGGCAAGCGCTGCTTGAACCCAGGGCCGCTTGCCGGAACTCAGCCTCGTGCCTGTGGCAAAGCAGACCGAAGTCCAGGCAGCTGGACCCGGGAAATCCAGCCGATTCCCACCCTCAGACACCCCCATCCTCAGCGCTTGGCCTTGCTGGCATCTGGCATAACACACCAGATCCTCTGGGGGTGGGCTAAGACAACGCCGCCGGAGCTGGAATGAAGCAAGTGAAGAAGAGAGATGCTTGAAATGTTGCGAGCATCTGGAATCGGAGCACCAAGCATCTGCTGATTGCTTTGGGAGCTGCTGCTTCAAAGTCTAGCTTTGAAGATGATTCATTTAAAAATAAATCGATACTGCAAGAGCCTTGAAAGAATCAGCGATCTTTTCTCGCAAACAAACCGAATTCCCCCTCGCCTCCATACAGGTCCTGGAGCTGCAAAACTCGGTTCATAAGCAAAATCTGAGACTGTCCATCTTGAGGACAGAATTATTGGAAGCAGAAATACCAGGCGATGCCTGCCATTGGATAGCATCTCCCAGGGCAACCTTATGGCCTCTAGACTCCGTGTTGGGGTCTGCGCAGGATCCATGGATTCCCAGCTGCAGAGAGCTCCAAGGGAAAGGTCCGTCCCCAGAGCTGTGGGGCTTGGAACCCCCTTCCCACCCCCCCCCCACATCTGGGACAGACAGACCCACATCGGCTGCATCTCCGGAGTCGTAAGACCGACCTTGGAGAAGGGGCAGAGAGTGCAGGGGGCGAGACTGGGTCCGTCTCCTGGCAGCGCCCCATCCGCCTTCCCTCCCCTTTGCCGGGCAGGAGAAGCACAGAGGTGCGAACGGTGCCCCTTCTGCCCTGTACTGGATTCCTTGGAGGTCTCCGGGCAGCCCCATCAGATGCAGCCCCATCTGCATCATGGAGCCCCATCAGGTCAGCACCATGAGGCACCTCCGCCCAACTGTGAGTTCCTGGGAACGTCTTGAAGCCGCTCTCCTTCCCCCCTTCCGTTCCTCTGACCCGGGGGGGCCAGAATGCCTATTGAAGTCGGGCAGGAGTCGCCTGGGGGTTCCGATTTCTGCAGTCATGGAAGGCTGCAGTTGGGTTGCTTGGCTTGCAAAGCCCTTTGGCTTGTGTGTGGACCTTCAGGGGAAGGAAGGTGCCGGCTCATCACGAGTGAGGAGAGCCGTGGATGAACCTGGGCGACACGCGAGGCATTTGGAGAGAAGTTCAGCAATGTCAGCATCAAGAACTGCCTTTCTGGACCAGATCAAAGACCTGGCCATCTGGCATCCGGTCCAAGAAAGGTTCAAGATGATGACCCCAGGACAATCGTATGGGGGACATAACACACGGTCACTCACAATCTGCTCTGTTTGGCCCAGGGCATTAATTGTGCGTGTCCCTTTGAGGACAACCCTCCCCACAAAATTGGACAAAAGTCTTGTTGCAGGCCTGGGCTAGGATCCCGGCCAGGGAGTGACAGGTAACCTTGCCAATGAAGCCATCAAGTTGCCACGACACCAGATGGGAATCTGCGTTCGCCAGTCCGAGCAAGAGACTTACCTTGCTCCTCAGCTGCTGATCCTTCAGTATATGGTACCTCCGCACAGAAAGGTTCAGCTCCAAGCCAGATGCAGCTTCACGTCTCCTGCACCGGCTTTAGCAAATCCATTTAAGAATTACGTGTGGCAGATCCTGAATTAAAGGTCATCTAAACTCAGAATCATGGTATGGAAGGGGCAGCTACAACCAACGAGCCCAACCCCAACTCAGTCCAGGGCTCCAGCTTCCAGCTTTCCTCAGAGATGGCTGTCCAGCTGCATCTTGAAGGTCTCCATGGTGAGAGAGCCCACCGTCTCCGTAGGTCCTCTCCTTTCCCAACTCCCCTGAACAGTTTGTTGTCTAAGCTCACTACCAAGCACCGTTTGTGCATGAGGAATGTGATGGACCGAAGATGCCGTTTCCCCTCAATGCTCTGCTGATTGGCCAGCAAGCCTGAGAGAGCCTGCGTTTGGCACAGAAGCAAGAAGGAACATTAGAAAACTTTTAACTCCGCAAGCAATTTCTGCTGCTTTTGCTGAAGTGGCCAAGGAATCCATCTCTCCTTTGATGTCTTCTCCAGAGATGAAATCTAAGGAAGTACCGGACAGGCACAAGTGGGCAGAGATCCCTGGCGTGTTACTGTGAGAATCCTGCTGAATTCTGTCACCTTGGCTCTTCAGAAAGCCACAAGAACACAAGGAAATTAAATTAATTGAATTATAATTGACGGTCCTCATCTATTAAAAATTGGTGTCATGGAGTCTAGCACTGAGTGCCAAGAAATTCCTTATGTCGGGCTACGATTCCGCCCAGCACAATGCTCGTTACTGCTGAGGACCTCGGATGCAACAGCAGATTCCTACCTCTCTGGTTTTCAGTCTCCCAAGCTTTGGTTGCTGCTTGTCCTCAGCAGTAGTGGCAGATTTTATTTTCCTGGGCTCCAAGATCACCGCAGACGGGGACTGCAGCCAAGAAATGAAAAGACGCTTGCTCCTGGGGAGGAAAGCTATGGCAAATCTAGACAGCATACTAAGAAACAGAGACATCACCCTGCCGACAAAAGTGCATATAGTCAAGGCTGTGGTTTTCCCAGTTGCAATGCATGGCTGTGGAAGCTGGACCACAAGGAAGGCTGAGCGCCAAAGGATTGAGGCCTTTGGATTGTGGTGCTGGAGGAGACTCTGCGAGTCCCTTGGACCGCAAGGCGATCAAACCGGTCAGTCCTAGAAGAGATCAACCCCGACTGCTCTTTAGAAGGCCAGATCCTGAAGATGAAACTCAAATACTTTGGCCACCTAATCAGAAGGAAGGACTCCCTGGAGAAGAGCCTGATGCTGGGAACAGTTGACGGCAAAAGAAGGAGGGGACGGCAGAGGATGAGGTGGCTGGATGGAATCACTGAAGCAGTTGGTGTGAGCTTGAGTGGACTCCGGGGGATGGTGGAGGACAGGGGGGCCTGGAGGAATGTTGTCCATGGGGTTGAGATGAGTCGGACACGACTTCGCGACTATCACGACATGGCATGTCCTCAGCAGAGAACTCTTCCTGAGCTTCTCTGGTTGCTTTAGTGGTGGGCTTCCGGAGCAGGTCTCAGGGATGAGGAGCTGAGAGGCCTTTCACCGATTGGCTGTACAATGTGAGCGAGAAGGAAGCCAGACCAGTAAGCCAGCTAGCTGTGCGCCCAAGGGGAGAAAGCCACCGTGACTGGCTGGCTGCAGAGGGGTCAGCACAGGCTCAGGGCTGGAGGGGAAGTTGGATGTGTGGCTGGGAGACAACTCCACATGGACCTGCTCTCCAGCAAGGAACCAGTAACGACCTACAGGGAGGGCCTGCAGTCCGGTGCAGGTTCCAAAACGGCTTCTGGTGGTCCTGGCCTTGGCCCGGAGAAAGAAATGCCATGATTTGTTTCCTGGAGACCTGGAACCTCCACCTTCGGTGGCTCTCGCAGCACTTGAAGCCCCAGGGGACTGTCTGGCTGCCCCATTTAAGCAGCCAGTCCCTCTTCTCAAACCTCAACGCATCTTCTTTCCTTGCTTGCTCGCTTTGATTTATATCCTGCCTTCCTCACTAAGATCCCCACACGGCTCAGCACCTTTTAAAATCCTGGCTCTAAAATTGCACATATATGATATAATCCAATAAAACCATCAGCATGAATGTTCATCAGAATCAGTCAAAAAGCAAGCAGAGCACTTGCCGATCTCCCCAGACCTCGCACCTTTTTTCAGCGCCTGAAGGACAGCCGCGTGAAAGACAGCCGAGTCCCCATGGAAGGGCGTTCCAGATCCGGCGTGGCATGTCCTCTGCTTGGAAGACAGCCTTCTCCTACTCATTTTTACCCAGATGTAAGTCCCAGGAGTTGGGCAGGCCTCCTCTGAAATAAGCCCCAGCTGAGGCCGCTCCAATTGAACGGTTTCTAGCAGCGTTGTTGGTCAGCGTTGTGGCGGCCGCCAGATCCCATGCATCTCTGGGCCAAGCTGCCCATGGGAACGGAGGGGGTCAGCCGGGGGGGACGCAGCATCGCTGCATCAGAGGAAAAGAGGCCAGGCTGAAACACGAGAAAGCACAGGTCGGCCTGCACCGAGTTCAGAGATAAGCCGGGCGCATCCACGGGGATTGGAGGAAGAATGCACGCGTCGTCTCGGGCAGCCTGTCTCTGCGGACGCGGGATGCTGAAATGCCGGACGCCACGGAAGCGAGTTCTGGGGGGCAGAAGTGCTCCATTTCTGGGTGCAGAGGAGTTATCGGGCCTCACTGGAGGTGGAGAAAGATTTATTTCATTTCTAGCCCACCCAGTAACCAAAGCTCTGGGCGGTTTATGACAAGGTATAAAGCGAAACAATAAGATGTAATAGAAACATCATAACAGCAAAATGAATTCAGAATAGCTTAAAATACAGGAAAATGCAGTTTAGAAATGCAATGAAGACCCAGCAAAGAAGACGAATCGACTGCATAGTCCCCTCGGGCCCCTGGATAGTGACAGAGATCTTTAAAGGCCTCGCACAGTGGCCTGCCTTGACCTGGCGCCAAAAGGATGGCAAGGATGGAGTTCCAAGGATTGGGAGCCACCACCGAAAAGGCCCCTGCCCCTCCTTGCCACGCTCTGAGCTTCCTGAGGGGTTGGTCCTTGGAGGAAGGTCCCAAAGGCTGAGACAAGTGCTGGGGAGATCGGGGTTGGGAGAGGCACTGTGCCGTGTTCAGCGGAGTTTCCAGCCCGAGAGTTTATCCCCTGGCAGATTCTTCTTTGCTTTGTATGAACCTGGCCCACCTGGAGTGATGCTGTTGGAGCCAAGAAGGCCCGGACTCACCTGCACCAGATTTTTATGTTGGAGGACTTTCCAGTCAGTTCTGGTTCCAATCACTGGTCTCGCGAATGTACACCTTGGCATCCTAAATTTAAAAACCAACAGAGAAAATCGATCCTGCAAGACGGAAGTGGCCCACCCCTTCCCCAGGCAGCCTTCCCGTCGTGTCCATGCTTAGTCCGAAATTTGGGCAAGGGGGAGGGCACTCCGTCAGAGCTCCGCACCCCTCCCCTTTGCCCGCCGAAGCCGAGACCAACCTGACGTTACAGGGCCTGTATTGTACACACCGTGTGTATGACCGGGAGGCGCATGGCACATACAGAGTGGGCAGTACAGAACTCACTTCTGGCAGTGCTCCTTGGGAGCTTTCCGTCTTGGAGGAAGCGTTCACGTGCGCATGCTTCAGTCGGGAGCCGAGCTCCCTCCTCCGGGCAGTCCAAAGCCGCAAACGGTTTCCCTCGCAAAGCGCTCTTTCCGGCTCCCAAGCACAAAGCCCCCAAAGAGACCTCTGAGCAGGGGGGTCTGCTGATGCGATGCAGTGCTGACCTCCCATCCCCCTGGGGGCGCCCCTGCTCGTCTGCTTGGCCCACCTGGTGTCCATCTCGGTCATTTCCAGGAACGGCCCAGCTTGGCAAAGCAGCCAACTTGGATAGAACCCCCTCTGCCTCCTCCGTCTCAGGGTCTTCACCTAGCCCATCCTCCCCAGTCATTGCCACGTTCCAAGTCCAAGCCATCCGGGATGCAGAACGATTGCCCAAGACCACCACCGTCCCACTCCCAACAGTTTGCGTCCGCATGCGAAAAACTGGTCTGTAAAACCTGCAGACATCCTGTGTCACAGGTGGTGTGCCTGGAATCCTACTTTGGCCCTCTCAGTGTCTGTCAATCACCACAACTACCTTTCCCTTTGTCCCCCTTCATTTGCTGTTTCCCCAAATGCCCCCCCCCCAGTTTGAAATGCCCCTGCGAGTCTGCAGCGCCTCTCCTCAAAGTCCTTGCTAGCAGGAAAAGCTTTCCGCTAAAAGGTGTCGTGTGTCGGCGGCGTGTGCTGAGCCAGCTGCATTTTATTTACTTTTCAGCCATCCGGTTTATCTGGGCTCCTGCCCCGTCTTATCTGGCGTGACAATCCAAAGTATTTTGCAGGGATTTCAAGCTTATTTTCCCGTTTCTTTCATCCTTCGATCTTGGCTCTTCCCGGAGACATGGTGGGGCCCCTTGGGATAATGCTCCTGCTTCTGGGGGTGCTGCCTGGTCATTTGGGCAGCACCCATCTGGCTGAGATCAAGATCGAGCGATCTGCAGGGGCTGTGATGGCGAAGGCCACGAGCATTGAAAGAGTCCTTGCAGGTTTTACATTAAAATCGCTTTTCCTGGCCTGGTGACCTCCAGGTGTTTTGGACTTCAGATCCCACCCACCCCAGCAGATGTGAACAGTGGTCAGGGATGCTGGGAGTCGTAGTCTAGAACATCAGAGTGGTCTGAAGGTGCATTCAACATGTTGAAGCTAAGCAGGTCCGAAGCTGGCCTGAGCTCGGAGGGGAGACCCCTGGGAACCGCTTGGGGCCACCTTGAGTGCCGCAAGGGGGGGAAGGGGGGGTAGAAATATAATAAATAAATAAATCAGGGCGCTGCCAAATTGGGAAGGCCTGCCCTAGAAAATGAAGAGGCGGTTACCATCAAAGGAGTGGCAGACCCTTAGCCTGTAATTTGGCCTTGGTTTTTATGGGGGGTGGGGTGAAGATCTGTTTTTATTGGGGGATGGATAGGTAAAAAGGTTGGGGTGCGAGGGACGTTCTTGGCAGCCGAGTGGCCGGGAGTCGCAGTCTGAATCGAGATGGACTAGTTGAAAAGAGTAGGAAGTAGCCGAGGTTGCCAGCTGGGTGGGGGGTGAAATAGGGGGTCGAGGAGTTTGCTCTCATAGTAGTGACTGCCTTGAATTGATCCAAGCAGCGGCTGACCGACTGATTAGAATCGCAGTGGTAATTCAGACAGTGCTCCTGAGGATCTTGCTCACGGCTGGAGTCGGGGTGCTTCTCCCTCACAACCACCTGTGTGTTTTCCACTCTTTTCCAGGACTTCCTGTCGTGTTTGTCACAGTTTGGGCCACTCTAAGGGCAACCTTAGCAGACAGCGGGTACGTCCGAGGCAGGGCTGAGCATCTGCTTCTTCTGCTTTTTAATCCTTCTTTGAGTCGCTCGAGTATTGATCTCAAATCCTGACAATGAAATGAATAACCACGCTGCGGTTTTGGTCAGTATCGCGCTCTGGGATATAGCCAGTGCAAACAGTCTGTAACGGGGACAGAGAATTGCTTTCAGCCAGCAGCCCTAATTGCATTTTGGAGAATTCTCCAGTGGTGGGCAGAACCAAAGCAAAAGCAGCAGGGCTAAAAGGTCAGAAATACTGGGTTATTTTGGTATAAAGCACTTACGGCCAGTAACTAAGGCTTCCTGAGGAACTTCAGCCTTTTAGAGTCCGGGAAATGTATGAAATGTCAGAAAACCACCGGACTAGCAGGGCCGTGCCAGCTTTCACGCTTCCTGGTGATCCTGACCAGGAAGCTGAAAGTATACCGATTCACACATCCTTATGCAACGGGCTAGGAACGATGCTGGCCTGCCTAACCCAGGATTGGCCAGTGCTGCACTCTGGGGAGTCAGGCGGGGGTTTTCCAGCATGCGAAGCAGGGACTGAATTGCTAAGCTGAGCTATAGCACCTGCCCTATGATAGGTTGAGCCCATGATTGGTTGGGCCATGGGTGCTTAGTCTCATGATCAGTTAAGCTCATGATAGGTTGGGCCTGTGGTAGGTTAGGATATGATTGACTGGGCCTGTGGTAGGCTGGGCCCATGATTGGTTGGGCCATGGGTGCTTAGTCTCATGATCAGTTAAGCTCGTGATAGGTTGGGCCTATGGTAGGTTAGGATATGATTGACTGGGCCCATGATAGCCTGGGCCCATGATTGGTTGGGACATGATAGACTGGGCCCATGATAGGTTGGGCTGTGATTGGCTGGGCCCAACCTATGATATTCCCCACCAAACTGCATATTTATTGTGTATTTTATTTTATGTTGTGAGCCGCCCCGAGGCTTCGGCAAGGGGTGGCATAGAAATGTTTAAATAAATAAATAAATAAATAAATAAATAAATAAAGAGAGAAGCCTCCAGAAGCACTTCTGGTTGCTGAGCTCATAACGGGGCCTTTTGCAGGTGCTGGGATCTGAGTGCCGGCTATTTCAAGTGGATCGTCCAGGTGCCCATCCTTGCAGCCATGCTGGTGAGTCGGAGAGGCCCAGGACTGGGGGGGGGGGGGGCAGAGCGTGCAAAAGTTACATGACTGGAAGCGGGGCAAACTTCCGGCCTGGGGCAAGCATCAGGCACAACGAGGTGTCTTGTCCCAGGCGGCAGCATATCAGGGGAGCAAACGGTCATGGGGGAGAGAAAGGCGGAGATGTGGGGCCAGCAGCCAGACATTGCAGCGTGGAGTCTCACCTGCAGGACACTTAATTCCCCAAACAGTCAGTCGAACCTCTGTGGCCATTGAACCCGTGCGGTCCTCATGGGGGGCATTTTTGAGGATCCTCCTGCCCCGAGCCCCACTTAGGGTCCCCACCCACCCCCATTTAGGATATTCTTGAGCTTCCGCAAGGCTCGGGCTTTCCCCAAACCTTCTGCCATGTGGGGGACGCTGCTTTGCCTGCCTGAGGAAGACCCCTCGCTTCCGGGCGTAGGGAGAAGGAGGAGGGATTCGCCAGCAGGAAGGGCGACTGCAGTTCCCCTGCGAGTCCAGGAAATGCTCCCCGGCATCCTCTGGACAGGTCTGCTTCCTAATCAGCACATCGAATCTCCGTTGGAGCATTAGCGCTGGCAGCATCTCGGACTTCGGCCTCCTTGCAGAGCCTTACCTGCATCTGGCCTGCACCACTTCGGGCTGGGGGAGAAGCTCTTGCAAGACTGAACACTCATCTGTTCACAGCTCCCCCCCCCCAAAAGAAAATCAACTGGTCGGGAAGGAAGCAAGCCCTCGCTAGCACACTCATTTTCTGCGGGAGGGGATCGCTTTATGTTTTGCTCCAAGAACCAATCTTAGCCTAGGCATGTGGCCCAGGGTGGGCATCTTCAGGCCCTGGGGCGGGCGGGGGGGTGAATCATTTCAAAATTCCCCTTTTTCCAAATTTTGCAGTGGAGCTGTCCAATAAGAATTCTAAAAATGTGCGGTCACAGGGAAAGGGGAAACGAAATGCAAAGCTGAGCAACATAACGTTCCGAACTGAATTTAATTAGAAACACCGCTTCAAAATGTGCGTCTAAAATGCAACACACAGAAAAGCGCATGTAGATTTTGAAGCCAACTTTTTAAATAGACTCGCAAAGTATGGGGCAGATCCCTTCTAAGATTGGAAAAATATCCTGTGTTTGGAACGAAGTACAGCACAGAAGATGGGGAAAATGGAAAACTGTGTGACGGCAAGATAGAGAGTATTATGTACTTATTTTATGCCCGGCTTTTCCTACGACAGGCCCAAGTCAGTTCACATAGTCCTCCTCCTCCTCCTTACTTTGTCCTCACAACAACCCTGTGAGGTAGGTCAGCCTAAGACTCGGCGACTGTCCCGAGGTGAAGCGGGATTTTTGAGGCTGGGTGGTGATGCAGCCCTAAACCTCCTAGCCCCAGTCCACGTTTCTAACCACTAAGCCACGCTGGCTTTCGGATGTCCCTCAGCATCCCTCTCTTTGTGCCTCCCAATCCCGCAAGATGGCGGAGCTGAGGATGGGACCTGACGGACCTGAACGCAGCAGAACCGAAGGGGAGCCAGCGTTCTCTTCCCACACGGTCCAGCCAGCTGCCCACAGGGAACCCACAGCAACGCTCCCTCCTTGGGTCCTCGCAGGAAGAGAGAGGGAGCGAAATGTCTTCCGATCTGCCCTCTCCACCGGTGCCTCCTCTCGCGCCCCCTTGGACCCACCGCCTTTGCGGCACGTCTTCCCCCCGAGCAATCGAAGGCTCCTCCACCCCGTGCCGCGTTTTCTCGCTGCGGATTCTGCAGAAGAGACGCGCCAGCAGCCAGAGAGCGCTGGAGGGGTGAGCCACCCCGGGCGCCCCTCGCCTGTCCTTGCGCAGTTTGTCCCCGGAGCTGAACATCCAAGCTCCCCTGGCTCCGTCGCGCAAGGAAGCCTCCGCTCCTGGATCTCCGCTTCACTGCAGAAGCGTTTCCTGTCTCCGCCATTCTCATCCCTCCCTGGAAAGCAAGTAAAAGCTTGCAAGGAAAGGAAGGGTGCGATGCTTTCAGAGCACCTCAGGTCCTGAGATGGCGAGGGGAGAAACCATGGAAGAGCAGAGCAAGGGCGAGAGGGAGGGAGAGAGGAAGGAAGGACGGACGGACGGACGGACGGACGGACAGAAAGGGACAGGTCCATCAGGGAAGGAGGGAAGTGTCCGAGTTTGCAATCCTTCCTTCCTGCCCACAGAAACGAAACACGCAACGCACCACAGCTTCCGCTTGTGCATCCAATAGCAGTTTTGGGGCATCACTGGGGGAATTTTCTCTACAGAACAACTCATCTCCATCCAAGCCGACTCATTGTCTTCCAGCAACTGGGCTGGAAATGCAAAGGCTCGCGGGGCTGGCAGTTCACTCTTCGCATCCTGCCAGGTTTCTCGGGTGGCCGCCTCTCCACGCCCGTTTCTGAGTGGTGCTGGCAGCTTGAGGCAGCTCTGACATGTGGAGGGGGAGCCCACCCTGGAGCTGCCGGCGAGAGAATGGACTTTGAAGATCTAAGTAGTTCTGACAAAGACATGTGACCCTCGATTCCTCCTCCTGGTGCAAGATTTCTGTCCCGACCCTGGATCTGGCTCTCAACCATTCCGAGAGCAGGATGTGCGTGGCAGAATGCGCATGGGCCAGGCACAATGATCCGCGTCGGGGCCCTCTTAAAACGTGGGAAAGCGTGGCCCTTCCATCAGCACAGAGAGATGTAAGGACCCAGTGGGGTCCCCCCTGGAAGTGCATTGATGAGAGATGCCAAATGAGCATAAGGAAGACCTTCCTCACACCGCATGGAGTTAAAATGTGGAATTTGCTGCCATGGGATGTATGGATGCCCACCACTCTGGGTGGTTTCAAGGGGGATCAGACAGGTTCATGGAGGAAAAGACTATCCATGCTGCTAGTCCTTTTTGACTTCTCTCTCCTCTCTTTCTTTCTCTTCCAGGCAAACTTCATTCTCTTCCTCAAAATCATCAGAGTCCTAGCAACCAAACTCCGAGAGACAAACGCAGGGAGATGCGACACGAGGCAACAGTACAGGTGAGTTTTTTGACATCCCCGGTTGGAGCAAGACGGTTCCAGGAGAACAGACGAATGAGACCTGGAGAGCAGATTACAAGAGCTTTACTTTTGCTTCCAAACATCCCTGCCCCTTTCAGAGCTGTAAACAGGGCTGTAAGCACAGCCACCAAAACTATTCACCAATAGTTGAACCTCTGCTCATCTGTCGCTCCTTCCCCATCCCCGCTGGATTCACACAATATTCCTAATGTGTGCGAATTTCCACGGTGGACTAAAGCAGTCCCTGAAGCCCGTACAGGAGATGTGCAGCAATTTCGCAGGATCTCCCAAATCTCCCACTGGACCAGTGCTCAATTTGCAGAAGTTCCCCACGCATGTGCAGCGAGCAGCAGTCGTGGTTATGAATTGGGAATAAGAAGCTTTTCGGAGGATCCTGCTCTTCCCAAACACTGCTTCTTCATTGCTTTTCCAGGTTTCACACCATCCCCCCCACATTCTAAAATATTCGAGTCCCCCTCCCAAGGGTTCATGTGGGGGTGGGTCATTCTCGGCCTTCCCCCTTGTTCTTGGAGCTCCTCCCTTGGGCCCCCTTCCCCGCATCTCCCCCCCCGATGGGAATGCACCCTCTGAGGGCTAGGAAGGGCACGGAGGAGGCAGACTGGCTCCACGACTAGAAGGCCCCGCCTGGCAGGAAGGAAGGAATGGGGGAGAGAGCTTTAGAAGTCGAAGAACTGCAGGGCTAGGCACAGTCCTTCTGTTAGGGCCGGAGACAGTCCTATTCCACCACCTGCCCTGGATAATCATAGAACATAGAAACAGAGCGAGGCAGAAGGGGTCTCCCGGGCCATCTAGTCTGACCCCTGGCTCTAGCCTGCTCTGCTCACGGCATGCCTACCACACGCATGTCCAGCCTGTCCTTGGACACCCTCACCGGTGGGGCCTCAACCACCTCTCGTGGAAGCCCATTCCACCCCCTCGGGGTCCTAACTGTCAGGAAGCGCTTCCTGGCATCCAAATTGAACCTGGGTTCCTGGAGCTTGGCTCCATTGGAGAGTGTCCTGCCTTCCTCTGCAGGGGAGAACAGGTCTCTGCCCACCTCCGCGTGAGACTCTCACGTACCTGTATGTCGCCAACAGGTCCCCTCGGAGTCTCCTCCCTAGTTTTGCTCTTGAGTGATAGATGCCATACAGAAAAGTTGTTGCGAGTTGCTGGACTTGTCATTCCTTCTGGATGTGGCTCCCTCCACTGAGCTAAATCTCCAGGCAGGTGTTCAGCAGCAGGGCTGTGGAGGAATCGGTTCTGGGGCCGAGAATTCGGCAGATTCCCTGGGCTCGGCCCCCCAGACCCCAGTCTGCTTTGTCGTGGGCCCAGGTCCAAGTTCCTGGCAAGCACGGCCAGCGTTCGCACCAGGAATTGAGCCCCACAAATTCTGCAAGCAGCATCCATCTTCCGCCCCCGCTCTTCCCCACCTTTGCACTGCTGCAGCTGTTATGGGAAGAGGTTGCCGGTTGTGCCACCGAAATCCCGCAAGTGTTTGTGGGCTTCCTTTTGGCCCAGCTTGCTTTGCAAGAGAGATGGGATTTGGGGGAGCTTCATTTCCTCCTCAGTCCGTGCCTCTTGCCTGTATCGTTCAAATACCTAAATGCACATTCAGGAGTGAACTTGAAGAGTTGTCCCTTTTTATCAAAGAACAGGGATCCCCTTGAACGAGATCCAGTAACTCGCTGCCAAGAAATTCAGCAGAGAGGGTGTGACCCAAGAGATGGTGGGAAAGGATGGATTTCACAATCAGATCACAGTGCTCTGGTTTCTAAACATTGGATCCTTCGTAGCCCCTCTCTTGCCTAAATGCAGCACTGACTTCTTAAGTTTTGCTTGAACCCGGGCCTGGCAAGCCCCGTCCTCCGCTTTCTTGCCCTCCTCCACCTCCTGTTTGAACAGGAGTCTTGGGGCGGGATGTGCGGGAACGTGGCGTCGTCCAAATGCACCATGCAGGCACGACGTCCCGCCTTCGCTGCTCGGCCACAGCTGAGCCATGCTGGCTGGCAAGTAGAGTTCACATTTGCAAAATTGGCCTGGCTTATTTGGAAGCAGCAGGGGTGAGGGGGGGAGAGGGGAAAAAAACGCCTTGGGAGTCTGGAAGGAAAAAATTTAATTGGAAGCAGGAGGCGGGAGTTTTCAGGCTGCAATTGGGCTTGCAAAATCCCAAGGTTTGTTTTCCAGCCTCGTCAAGGCCTATCGTTTACCTACTAATTTACTTCATGCTCTTTGAGGCTTGTTATTAATTATGGTTTGGAGGCGCTTCGCCGTTTTATGGGGTTTTTCCAGTCCTCGGCCCCAACCACCGCCACTCGCCTGAGTGGGGGGGGGCTTTGTCTCACGGGCGCTGGGCGCCCCCCGGCAGTCGCCCTCGTGTGGCACCATGGCAGCTGCTGGCGGGGCCCCCCCTCCCCCCCCTCCCTTCCCCTCTTCCCTGTCCGCATGATTTCCCGTCAGAGATGCCGCCTCGGGAAGCACCGCTCTTGAGCGGTACCAGATGTTCCCACACAGTCGTGTCCTCCGAGGCGTCTCCTCCCGTGCTCGCCGCATTGGGATGCCGCCTGCAGCCCCCAGAGCTCAGAGCAAATAGCTTAGGACTTCCAGGTGGTCTCCCAGCCAGGTAGCTGGATGTGGCAAAGCCAAACTGGCCCCGAGGGGCAGGCACAGACGCTCAGCCGACCTACCTCACAGGGCTGTTGTTGTGGAGATTAGATAGAGAGGAGGAGGGGACGTGTGTAGGCCCCTTGAATTCCTTGGAAGGAAAAAGGGCAGGATTTCACTTTTAATATAGCAATCATGACAGCTAAATAGTTAAATCAAGGTAATAATGAAGGCTAGAATAGCATTTGATAGTAGTGTAAAGATATAAAATACAGTACAGAATTTTAAAAGGCACGAAACTAAAATCCTAGTGTGATTCCTGGGAATGCCATTAGAGGAGACCACTGCAGCCACCGGGGACGCACGTACTACGGATGAGGTGCCACAACAGAAAAGATCCCCCTCCGAGTAGCCCCCCCACCAGACTTCCCTGGGAAGGGGCCCCCTTGGAAGAGCCACAGACAGTATGCATGTTTACAGATGCTCATCTTATTTTTTCCCCCCTAAAAATACACCTTTCCCTTTGCTACAAGAAATGGGGCTTATTCCCAAGAAAATGCGTTTTGCACCAGGGCAGCAGAACTCCCGTTTGCTTCCCGTAGGGGAAATGCTTAATGTGCCCCAAAAGTTACTCTTCTGATCGGGGACGGCAGACCGGGGGGGGGTGTGTTGGCCCTTCGCTAACATTTCAGGAACGGCAAAGCGCTTGCCATGGATGCAGCAATGGGTGGGGGGGAGAGAGGGGCTCGTTGCGGAGAGCACAATGGTGCGTGGCTGGCGGAGCAAGCATGCGGCTTGGCACTGGCCCGGCTTGGGTTTGCATGGGCCCGATCCTTCACCAGGACTCTTGTTCCGTTCGTTGCCAGTAACGCTCTCCCCTTCCCCTCCCTTCCAGGAAGCTGCTGAAATCGACTCTGGTCCTTATGCCTCTCTTTGGAGTTCATTATGTAGTTTTTATGGCTATGCCATACACGGAAATATCAGGGATCCTTTGGCAAATTCAGATGCACTATGAAATGCTCTTCAACTCTTTCCAGGTATGGGGCATCCTCCAAGGTTTGCTTTGGAAATCAACTCCCCGTTTCAGGTCCAACAAATGCAAAGACTCGTGTGTTTGTGTTGCTGTCCAGCCCTGCCCAATTTCCATGTTGAAATTAATATTTGATTGTGAAGGACTGAGGGGAGGGTAACTTAAGGGTGAACAAATCGCAACGTCAGGCATATAGTGTGTGAGATCAAACCGGTCAGTCCTAGAGGAGATCCACCCCGACTGCTCTTTGGAAGGCCAGATCCTGAAGATGAAGCTCAGATACTTTGGCCACCAAATGAGAAGGAAGGACTCCCTGGAGGAGACCCTGATGCTGGGCACAATAGATGGCAAAAGAAGGAGGGGACGGCAGAGGATGAGGGGGCTGGATGGAGGCACTGAAGCAGTTGGAGGGAGCTTGGGTAGACTCCGAGGGATGGTGGAGGACAGGGGGGCCTGGAGGAACGGTGAAACAATTTAGCATTTTGCAAAGGAACTCTAAACATACCCACGATCGGTGAGGCACTTCTGAACAGGTTTGCTTGCCATTAATGATGACTGCAAGGTAGGGATCCACTCTGAGCTGTCAGCCCTCTTAACTCCCCTGCACACTTCGCCTCGATCCCCGATTTCTCCTTTATATTTCCATCACATCTCCTTCACCATCCCTTTCTCCTCCTCCTCCCATCCTGTTAAGGGTGGAAAATGCTAATTATCTCTGGGTGCTTCCAGGTGGGAGACGTCCAGTCTAAGCACCCGGTCTGTGTGCACCTGGTTTTAACCCTGTGGGAAAGCGGTCCTCCTCATACCCGGGCAGTCCTCTGAAGGACACCTCCCGGACTGTCCATGTTTGAGTGTGGCCGTTGGACCTCTGTGGACCTTGGGCTCCGGAGCAGACTCTGGGCCAGCCCTGAGCTCTGCCTTTCCGGGTTCCCACAACTCTCCTGTAGACCAGCTGTGCCTCTTTCTAGAAGGCGGTCCCTTCTTTGAAGGGGTGTCCCCTCCACATGTGGCTCCAGGATGGGGAGCCTGCAGTGAGCACCTAAATACGCAAGCACGTGGTAGTCACCTGGCCGCCAAGAGGAGAGCCGGGCGGCGTGGTGGGGGGGGGTGTTGGACGGGGGCCCTGGCAGATCCAGGCACGGCTCCCCACTTTGCCATGAAGCTCCTGGATGCCTTTGGGCCAGTCACTCACTCACCCGCACCCTGTCCTACCTCACAAGGCTGTTGTGAGGATAAAATCAGACTGTGAGCAACCTTGGGCTCCTCACAAGGGTGGGAAGTAAAGGCCATGTGATCATAACAATAATTATTTCTCGTTTATAAGTTTGCGTCTTCCCACGCAATGAACACGTGCAAACTGTTGTGCCCACACGGCCTTCTTCTTTGGTGACGGGTTGCCTCTGTTTTGGCGGAGCCAAAGCATCCGGGGGGGGGGGGGGGCCCCAATGGGGCTATTATGGGATTGAGTAATGGCAGTGCTTCTTGGTGCCCCCATCTCCAGGAAAAGAAGCCAAGAAGGGGGGAGTGTCTTGGAAGGCAGCTTCTCTGCCACGGAGTTTCAGATTATGTTGTTGTTGCTCTGTGCCATCAAGTCACTCGGGACGTGCACATGGTGGGTCAGACTAGATGGCCCGGGAGACCCCTTCTGACTCGCTCTGCTTCTGTGTTTCTGAGTCGTGTCCCACTTACGGTGACCCTATGACCAAACCCGTCCAAATGTCCCTCCGTAGCCTCCCTGCTCAGCACGTCTAATTCCACAGCTGCAGCTCCCTTTGTGGAATCAAGACTGTGCCGGAGCGATATTAATGCATCCTTTTCCTCTTTTTCTCCTAGGGATTTTTTGTCGCCATTATCTATTGTTTCTGCAACGGGGAGGTGAGTTTCTTGGGGCCAGCAGCCCTGGGTGGTATCTCTGTCCTGGCAACTCCAAACTGCCAGGGTCGGGGTGGAGCGATGCCGAAACAAAACGGGGAGCAGGCGGAAAGTTTCAAATGTTTCCTCTTTTGAAAAGCAAAGAGAAAAGTATCTCCTTGCATATATAAAGGCGGCACATCAGGGAGAAAGTCAAGCTTTGCCTGCTGTGATTTTTGAAATTGCAAGAAAGGGCAGTCACTGTAGCTTTAACCCGGTCGGCCTGCTTGATCCCACTGTGATATATTTTACCCATGATCTCTCATGCCTTCTAAAACTCTGCATGGTCACCTATGGATTTAAACTCCGACATGCCAGTTCAGCACTGAAACCCTGCGCATGAAGCGCATCTGTCTCTCTCTAATCACAACCTACACTTCACCACGTCCACCCGCTTCTTCCACCTGTGCCGCCTGGTAATCAAGGCTGCTAAAATGCCACCGAAAAGCCAAGAAGGAGAAGGAGGCCTTAAGGTGACCTCCAGAGACCACTTGACCCGAAGTCTATTTGGTTGACAAGAGACAGGGCCTTTTCTGTTGTGGCCCCAGTTTTGCGAAATGCCCTCCTGTGGGATGTATTTACAGCCCTGTCCCTGATGCTCCGGTCTCCTTTGAAGTGAATTGTTGATCCTGCTGCTGCTGTTATTTTTTATTACAAATGTGCAAGTCCCACCCGTTGGAGATGCCATCTTGCTAAGTGGGCTAAGATGAGCCCCGGTTTGCACATGCTTGCAAATCAGATGCTAAGAAAGCACGCGGAGATTGTGCTGCTTGCACGGTTTGTGCAAATTCATGCAACGGGCGGACATGGTTTTATTTTGCCCGCATGGCACGAATTGGCCCCTGAAAACGCTTCACTTGAAAATCGTGTGCAAACCAAAGTTCCGTGCACAATTGGTAGGAACTAAGGAAGGTGTTCCCGAGGTGACATTCCTTGTAAATCAACACAAATATCCCCAGGAATCTCACTTTTGTCTTTTAAGAGCACAAATTGCGCTCCATCGGAGAGGCAGAAGCGCATGAGCTGGCTCAATGCGCCAGAGCGGCTGGCGGCAGCCCAGGCCTTGTGAAACGGAGCCTGGGAGGTTGGATCGTTAAAATCCGTCTTATTCACAGCCCTCATTGGATTCCCCTCACAAACCAATTTTAAATGTTCTGTGCTGGTGTTTTCATTGATTCTCCTTTAAGTCTTTGCCCTCCCGAGCCCCAGAAGCAGGAAGGGGTCTGTTTGGGATGGAGGGGATCTGTCGGATCCCTGGGCTCGGCTCCCCGGACTCCAGTCCACTCTGCAGAGGCCCCGAGTCCAAGTTCCCCATGAGCACCCCCAGCCTTCTTGGGGTTCCCGCTGGGAATCCAGCTTCACAGGCCACAGCCAGAATCCCTCTTCCACAGACAAAGGTTGCTCCCTGGAAAGGGGCCCCGCTTCCGCACCGTCCTCCTGACCAGAAAGGTGTCCCATCACGCAGCCAGAGATCTGCAAGCGGGCATGGGCTTCCTTTCAGCTGGCCTTTCTGGCAGGATCGGGCCAGGCCTGAGAGAAAGCCCACAGATGCTGGAGGGATGGATCCCACAGGGCTTGGCCCGGCCCTTCCTCGCACCCTCCTCCGGTGTTGGACGCCTGTGCAGCCCTCACGTCCGGCCAGCCGGACCAGGTGAAGCGGGAGGTGGTGCCGGCCAGGGGTGATGGGAGCTGAAGGCCAAACCGTGCCGGGACTCTGGGAAGGAGCAAATGGCCCTCGTCTCCCCAGGCATTGCTTCAGGACTCAGCCGCCTGAGTCTGATCGAAGGAGATGGCGACCGAGATGGGCCAGGGGAAGGAAGCGGGCCCTGATCTGAGAAGGAGGCACTGTTCCCTCCAGGAGGAGTAAGCCAGGAAGGAATGTGCTAAGTCTAGCCACATTCCCACTGGATTGCAATCTTGAATCCATTCCTGGATTAAGTAAACAAACATTTTATTTTGAAAATCCCAACTGACTGGGGAAAATGTTTAAACTATTTTTATTATTCTTATTAATGCAAATACAGGAGAGGACCGCTGCAGGACAGATTGATGTCTTTGACAGATAAGACATCCAAAGACAAAGAGAACGCGGTGTCAAAGACATCGATTTAAAGCTATGCCAAAGTATACCGATTGTGCCAACCCCTGAAACAATGACTTGATTCAAATGCTCCGAATTGAACCCGATTTCTTTAGACCAGTGGCAGGGCAAAATTTCTTTCAGGGTGTATCTCAGAGCCATTGGCCTCGGCCCACATGGAGTCTCATAAAAAACTCGGACGATCGGTTAGAGACAAAGTGGCTTTTGGAATGGCACCGTCCGCAAGTTCTTCCACTGTGGCCCACAATATAGTAACTCACCTTTCTCTTTCTGATCAGGTCCAAGCAGAAATAAAGAAGTCCTGGAGCAGGTGGACGCTAGCGCTGGACTTTAAAAGGAAGGCTCGCAGCGGGAGCACCACCTACAGCTACGGGCCGATGGTGTCCCACACCAGCGTCACCAACGTCACCAGCAGAGGGGGAATCGCCCTCCATCTCAACACAAAGCTCATTCCAGGTGCCCTCAATGGACATCGGAGCTTGCCCGGCTACGTCAAGAACGGCTCCATTTCAGAGAATTCCATGCCTTCTTCTGGGCCAGAACAATACAACAAAGACGAGGAGCACCTCAACGGATCGGGACTCTACAGCGGAGACAGGCCGATGGGGCTGGTGGAAGAAGAGAAGGAGACCGTGATGTGAATGGAAAAGCAGCTGGGCAGTTATCCAAGTAAGAGGTTCCCCCAACGCACAGAGTGTTCGAAAGATGGCTCAGCTGATCGCTGAACATCAAAGCCCTGCCGAGTTTTCCCCTGTTTGTTGGAGCAGGGAGCCCAAATTCTATGGAAAAATACGGGCCAGCCGCCCTGCCGCTCACCTTTCCGCACGGTCTGCTGTGCCAAGGGGTCGATAGGGCACAGATCTCCCGGCTCACGGTACCTATCCGAAAACGAAGGAGAGACCCAGAGTTTACACGGATGTCCCAGCGGCATCTTGAGTTTATACACAGCACAAAAGAAGCGGAAGGAAACTATCTGGGTGCCTTACTGTGCCCCAAGAGATTGAAGGTTGAGCCCCGTTGTCCTTTGGTGCGACGAGCCATCCACACCCTTTGTGGGCCGTCCAGGGTTCTGGCCTCTTTGTCGCTGGTTTTGGCGACGTGGTACAGCCGCCAGGACAGGGTGAGGTCAGGGGGAACCCCTTGATGGTTGTACGGGCTTCTTTGGAGAGCCTGCATCTCTGCTCCTTTGATTCAGATCCAGCTCTCTAAAGACATGTTGCTGCATATTCCTACAGAAACTGATGGGAAATATTCCATCTACACAGCTTTTTTTTGAGGGGGGGGGATGACTCAGTTTAACAACTCGCCAGTGAAAAGGAAGTCAGGAAGGGCCCTTTGTCCAAGCAGAGCCCGAAACGCCATGAGAAGGGATTTAGTGCAGGTGGAGGGGTGCCGCAGCTAGGCGGGGGCTCCAACTTAACATCAACCTTACGCTGGCTTTCCACCAGTTCGACTGTCGTGTTTTCCCCACCACCAAGGAATCCTGGGAGCTGCAGTCTCGTGAGCCTGCTGGGCGTCCTCCTCCCATCACAAAATTAAAATTCCCTGGGGAAGAGCAGGTGGCGCTTACCCCAGATCCTTTCTGCCCCATAGGTGTGCCCCAAGACTGAAGGGAAGGGTAGAGTGCTGTTTGTGGAGGCCTAGATGAAGGCGTCAAAGCAAGGATAAGCTGAAGATGGACCACCAGAGGTGCCAGATTTCAGCTTTCAGAAGCCCCTGCGAGCCTGGCCCTTGGTCAGGAATCTGGGGAGATGAAGCCCAGCGTATTCGGAGACCTATCCTCTGCACTCCCTTCTGATCGAGCTGCCTCAGCTGTTTCCACTGCTGCGGACCAACTCCTCCACTGAGATGGTGCTCTTGCTGCTGCTGGCCACTGCATCCCGGAGAGGCCCTGCTGGAATCTTTTGAGCACGGGAAGCGGCCAACGCCAACGCGGAAGAGAGGCATTAGGGTGTCACGCCAGCGTGGTAGCCTAAGCCTCCACCCAGGTCGCCCGACATTTGCACTGGCCCCTTCCGCCTCCCCCAAAACCATCAGCTTGCACTTCCTTACCTCTCCTGTTTCAGCAGCGTTGAGGGCTGGCCCACCAGGCCCCTGTAGAAGATGCCCGTGGTCCACCAGTGTAAGGTGAAGACCCTCTGAGGCAGGTCCACGTCCTCCCATGCGGCTGAAGATGGGGGGACGCCCGGTGCCAGGAAGGTCATCACTCTCCCCAGCCACACCAGGGAACTTGCTGCTTCCACAACTGTGTCGAAGCACCCACACAACCCCGCCTGGTCGTGTTGACACCGTCCATGAAAACAGCGGGGTGGGTTGACCCTCACGCTCTTCCTTAAATTCCAGGCATGAGGACGCAGAGATCTGTGTCTGACTTGCTCTCGCTGCCCAGCGGTAACCAGCGTGCCTAGGAATCTGCCCCACTCCTTCTAATTTGCTTTACTCCTGGGACATCTGTGTAGGATCGCAGCTGTTCTTTGGAGGCCTGAAGGCTTGTGTTCAAAATCCCCCTGCTCTTATGCCAAGGGGCATCGCTTCCCCCTCAAAAGAATCCAGTGTGTTGTAAAATCTGCGTTGGAGATCCCTCGACAGCAGGATGAAACCCGTTCCGGCCCTTCGGGGAGCTGAATGCCTCAGGGACAAGCCTTTTCCGCCTTCCCCTTTTGCAGGCGAGCTCAACTCCAGGGGTGGAGGAGCTCTTTGCTGAGCGAGGACTTTGGTGTGGCGCCAGCAACGACGACAACTGCTCTCGACAGAGCTGCTCGGGGATCGCTTCTCGTCAGCCCGTGCTCCCTTTGCTTTGCCCCCCTCAAAGGATGTGTTGCGGGAGCCTCCCGGCATCCCAAACGCTCCCAGAGTGCCTTGCGGGAGGATATGACAGTTCGTGTTCATTTGAAACACTTTGCATAGGCTGAATGCTTATGCCGCCTTTGATGGCTCGGAGTGGCCCTAAGGATGGAAGTTTGGAATAACCGGTTCTGGCCCACGAGGCGATTCGCAAGCCATTTCCGAACGAAACCGGAGGCACTCGGGGCTACGGAGGGGCATATACTCTGCCATTTTTTTAAAAATCAACACCAAGAAAAGCTTGGATTTTGCGACTGATATAAATTATTCTGATTTGCACAGTTGATCTTTTGCATAATTTATTCCACAGTTTTACTATTAGAATAATTTCTGCTGCTTCAGCTAATCACCGGGCACTGAAGGCCGGCCTGCCCTCTCCCCTGACCGCTTGCGACCTTATTCAGTCTTCGGAGAATTCACCACGTCTTGCCCACACATCCTCAGGCATTACGCCAAAGACATGTGGACTAGGAACTTGTTCTTTTCAGATACAGAGGGGAAAAAAGAAAGTTGAATTCCGCAGCTGGTAGCATATCCCTGCTTTCTGTTAAATGTGTTAAAACGAGTCCTGTACTTCTAAAGGAGGTAACTGGTATTTTACTGAGGCAGCTGAAGGAAAAGGTTAGAGGGGACTCGGAGGGGCATTGGGTGGTCAGCCTTCCTTGAGAATTCCCCAGTTCCATTTTATGAAGTGTTATGTCTCCTCTCACACAATCGCCCGCGTGGAAGGCTTGTGTAAAGTCGGGGCAGCTCGCACCAAAGCCATGATGCGAAGTGAGCCAGTCTTTTGAAGTCTAGCTTAACTCCCATACCTCCCGGTTTTCCCCTCCATGCTTCTCTGGGGGGGGGCACAGGGGCCCGGAGCGCCCCCACTGGAAGTTCCCGCTTCCCGCAGATCGTGGCAGTTGGCCTGGAAATCCACAGGCAACGCGAGCAGAGGCTTCCAGAAGGCCGAGTCTGCATCCCAGCCATTCTTGGCTTCAGCGGAGGACCAGCTGGCCGTGTTTGATGGTACAGCCCTACCCTGACCACGTGCTACCTCGGAGTGTCAGTTCTGACATGCCCCTTCTCCCCACCCCATTCATGGAAATACGCCTGCAACTCTTTCTTGTGCTGAAAATCAGGAGGCTAGAAGGCGGCAGAGCTGGGCCTCCTCGTGAGCCAGGTGCTAAGCAGCATCCAGAATAATTCTCTGGAGAGCACCTGTCCGCAGACACCTGCAGAGACCCATGTGGGGAGGGGGGGTTTCCCCAGTTGGGGCAGCCTCCGTTTAAGTGCAAACAACAACATTTGTGCTGTGTACACCACAAGTTCGAATCAAGGCCAGCCTGCTTTGCTCTCAGCACTCCCAGCTAGAGAAAATCAGGATCCACCTGAAGGGGCACGTGTGTTTGAACCCTCCTGGGACCTCGGATGGAAAACTATGAATGGGGGGGGGATCTGTACCCTTAATTTAGTTTCCATGTTCATTAACATAAACATCAACATTAAAAAAAAACAATGAGTTGTTTCCTTACGTTAATTATTGCTGCCCCCCCCCCCCCAACATCTTCTGCATGCAAGGAACCCGAGGCAGCTGCCTGGGCATCCTCTCCAGTTTATCTTCACAACAACCCTGTGAGGTAGGCACGACTGAGTCGGTGGCTTGCCCAGAGTCGCTCAAGAGAGCCTCCCTGGAACCCAGGTCCACAGTTCTGCACTCTCAGCGCTTCAGCCCTTTGCCAGATGGGCGGCACCGTCAAGTGCACCCTCCTAGAAATTAAAAAATGGCCACTTCCGTATAAACCGATTTGCAGGTTTTTGGTCTCCAAGCGTAACAATTACACTGAATGGCCTGTAGCTGAATCCCAAACCCTGTGGCACTGGTCTGAGCCCCGGTGCCCGTGTCTTTTTCGAGCACGTAGCCCCTGACCTTTGAGTTGTCATCGGCTCCCACTGCATCCACCCAGATCCTTTCAGATAAGCTAATAATGCTCCTCAGAAAGTCATGGCTGGGATCTAGTCAATATAGTACAGTGCTAGCTGCTAAAAGCACTTCATTTTCCACAGCACCCAAAGCCATGCATATAATCTGCATGCAATTGAGAAAAAATGAATTGAAAAGGAACATCTCAAAACTCTGGAAGTGGAGAGAATGAGCTGGGGGATGCGGGCAAAAGAGCTGTCTGAATGGCCCCTGCCAGCATTAAATCGGGAAGGCATTGCACTGTCTACATGATGTGCTAACTTGAGCATTCCAGGGAGGGAGGGAGGTGTGGCCAAGGTCTGTGGTTTCCCATGGGCTGTGAGGACGCTGATGCGGCTTCGAGGCAGGTGCTCCGCATCTCGGGGCTCAGAAGCACCAACTCTGGCCCTGCTGGAGTCCCAGCTCGCCCTCCAGGCTTCCCAGTGGAGCCCTGTTACCCTTCCTGGGCCCCACAGCTTTTCCCCAAGCTGCTGATGGTGGGGTGGCTTCCCGGCGCTTCCCCTCCCCAATATCTTCTCTAAGACCGAGCTCTTGGCCATAAGAGCTTTAAGCGACAAGCCACCTTGGCCACGCCCCTTTGGCTGGCCTGCCCCGCCCACTGCTGCACCCTGGCCCCCGAGAACGGCTCCGAAATTGAACATGGCCCTTGGGAAAAGGCTCCGCAAACTTGCTTTAGGGACTGGCTTGTCCGCTTTCCCTTTTTCTCACAAGATTGAGTTGCAGGCGCAACCGCTCTCCGCTCAAGTTGCCAGATGCCATCCATCCCTTTGGCACAAAGGAATCTTTCAGTCAACGTTGGATTTAGGAATGCAAAGCCAAAGAGAGAAAGGAATCATTTCACAATTACTTGTGGTTGCGTATATGTTTTCACAACAGATGATTCACAATGAATAACATATGTCTGGAAAATGATTGAGCAAAATGCACAAGAATTGTTTACAAACAAAAGACATCCATCCGTAATAAAGACAAGAAAGAGCATGTAGTTTGTTGGTTTTGTGATGGGAAATTGCTGTCAGCCGGGATTAGAGAGGCATAAGAAATTCATTCTATGTTGTAAGCCGCCCCGAGGCTTCGGCGAATGGGGCGGCATAAAAATGTTTTAATTAATTAATTAATTAATTAATTAATTAATAAGAAAGAAAGAAAGAAAGAAAGAAAGAAAAGAAAGAAAGAAAAATTCATTCCAGTTGGTTTTCTTTTTTTCTTGGATTGACCCAGCTTGCATCTTCGTGGACTGGTGTGGTCAACATTTGTCCATTTCCAAGCTTGTACATAGTTTCGCAGACTCAAAAATTTGCAAAATGTGCATCAAAAGATGTATATTTCTGCAGAATGTGAACAAACTTTAATCAGTGACAGAAGAATCATTGCTTTTCAAGGACATGCCGAGTTGAGGCCTATGTTAAGAACAATAGAAAGGAAAATTCACACAATTTTTCACTACGAAAGGAAAGCAAAACCAAAAAAAAAGCGCAAAGCTTGTAATCTCACCCACACTCAGCTGGGAATGAGTTTTGACATGGAATCTGGAAAACTTCAGTGAGGTCCAATTTGGATATTTTGCATGACCCGACTCAGGATTCAGAGTCTGACATAAGAATTGAGACCTGGGTGGGACAGCAGAAGTGTGTGACTCGGCTCCAAGAATGACAAACTGTGGTTTCCTCTTTTGTTTGCTTCCAAGGGCTTTTGCCCTTCTTAATACCATTTTCACCCTGGCCTTCCTCCAGAGAGCCGAGGGCGGCATGTGTTTCTCCACTCTCTTGCAATGCCATCCCCGCATGTAGCCTGCAGGTCAAGTCCGAAAGATGAGGCCTCCCATGCCGTTTCATGGCTTGATCCATAGAAACGTGTTCCGAAAGGCACCTGTTCCCAAGGGAGGGGCTGGTGGGGAAGCTCCGAGGGTCCCCACCCTAGACCCTTGGCTGGCCTGGCCTTGCCAAGCAAGCCGAGCCGCGAAGGAGCCTGCAAACACTCGCGGAAGGAAGATTCCTCCATCAGCAAGGCCAAGGTTGCTGCGTGTGACGTGACTGAGGGACTCTTGTGCAGCTTTCACATGGGGCCCCTTTCCTGGGGGCGCTGCACAGTCCCGGGGGGGGGGGGGGCGCACTGCCACGGGCTCAGACACGAGCAGAGCTTGGAGAGCTGAGCCCAGGAATCTGAGGGATTCCCACCCCCAAAATGGGCCCCCCACTCACGCATAAGCCCAGGTTAAGCAGAACCTCACCCGTTGCTGAAGGAGGCTTGACGGCTCGCCCATGGTTTCCTGGCAGAATTCAGGGGTCCCGTGCTGGTCTTAAATAGTTTGGGACCTTCCTCACCGCAGCTGGCTCTTTCTTGCTGCTTCTCCAGGACTTCAGCAGCTGCGAACAGGATCCGCGGGACTCCATGGGAGGCTGAGAAACTTAGAAGTGTGCTCAGCCCAGCCCCGCACAGTCCGCTCATCAAACCCCCGTAGGTGCCGACCCGATCGGATGCAAATGGAGTCGGGTTTGTATTTCTTTGTACGCCACTCCGTCGCTGACGCTCTCTAGTACAGAAGTTCAAACAATGTGACGAAAAGGAGTATAAAATATTAATCCCCGTTTAAACCATCGTAACATCGCACTGAAATTTAGAAGCATTGTTTTAACTGCATCCCGTATTCCATGCACTATCTGGAGTTAGTGCAGGGGGTCTTAACTGGGGGGGGGGGGGTCTTAACCAGGTGCCAAGAAGGCTGTGCAGATGAGGGGCAATTGGGAGAGGCACTCCGTCAAGTATTGTGATCCCAAGCCATGTAGGGTAAAACCTGCAGGGATTGGGCTTGGAAGCATCTAGAAAGCCAATGAAAGCAGGGCGGAATTGGTGGTTCATGTCTGGACCGTCTAGTCCCAGTTATGGATCAGGCTGCCACATTCCAAGGGTAAATTTGGGTGCCAGGAAGCACTTATTTATTTATTTAAAAATTTCTATGCCGCCCTATTCGCCGAAGCCTCGGGGCGGCTTACAAAACATCAGTTAAAATATAAAACACTAAAAATATAAAACACATTAACTTTATAAAATAAGTTGCCCTGGCCGGTTAGGACCCCTGACAGTTAGGACCCCAAGGATACAGAACGGGCTTCCACGGGAGGAAGTTGGAGCCCCATCGGTGCGGGTGTTCAAGGGTATGAGGCTGGACTTGCACATGGTGGGCATGTCGTGAGCGGAGCTGGGGTCAGACTAGATGGCCCATGAGGTCCCTTCTGACTCGCTCTGTTTCTATGTTTCTATTCACTGGGAATTGCAACAAAACCAGCCTTCCCCACCCTGGTGTCTTGAATCGCAGCTCCCATCATCCTCGGCTAGCATGCCGGTGGTCCAGGCTGGGACGGCTGCAACAAAACTCCCAGGGAGCGCTCATCTGTTGCTCTTTTGATACCTGCAAGCAGCGTGCGACCCTGAGAAGGAGGCGCACATTCTCCCTCCAGGCTGGGCTAAGACAGACGGGCTATTAAACGCTCAATGCCTCAGCTTTGTATCCAGAGGTTTGCACTGTGCAAAACCAGCCCATGTCTGGGAAATATAATCGTTCATAAACTGAATCCATAAAAATAGACTTTGCATCCATCCTGATGGCTTAGAGCTGAACTCCGGGAGTGCTTGTTGCCAGGTGGGCTGTGACACGTTCAGCAGGGCCAGGAGCGGCTGTGGGTGGGAAGGGGGGCCTAGAACAGCGTGGCTTGCACGGAAAGGGCCTTCCCAGGTATCCATCGAAGACCTCGAGCAGTTCTGCCAAGTTGCCACAGCAAAACCCGGGGAATTAGCAGAAGCAGCCTTCAGTCGCAGTTTGCCCAATAAGCAAAGCGGTCTGGAAAGGAACCCTTCTCTGTGCTTGTGCTTGTGCGTTTCTACAGGGCGTTTCCAGTTTCTCTCCACTGGGCTTGTCCAGTGCCGAGAAGACAGCCGTGTAATCCCAGCCCTCCAAGGGCCTTCATCTGTTCATGGAAAAGCACAAACATCAATTCAGCATGGAGGCGAACAGGCGCATTCCATTACCCGGCCTGACGTCCCCTTTGGCACCGCGGACGCACGTCCCTTTTGCCAGTGCGCTGGCAGCGCTCGCTTGTCTCCGCGCACGGCTTCGTTGGATGACTCCTGGAGCGGAGAATAGAGAGCAGATGGTCTACTCCGAACAGCCGGCACAGGCTGCAGTCTTCCCCGAGCACGGCTTAGGAGCTTCCCAGGCTTCCAGCCACGCTGGGCTACCGCTGCCCCCATCAGCCCCCCGCAGGCTGGATGATGGGCAGGGGGCTTGCGGCCATGCCCCGTGGCACCCTTTGCCCCCCAGCTATCAAAGCTGCTTCACCTGCACCCCTTGGAGGAAGGCACGGAGCAGGTGCAGCGACATGGTTTACTTGTATAGCACTTTTGCACAAGAAAGCCATGCTCTAAGCAGGTTACAAAGGTATCAAAAATATGCACGGCAGAATTTCCCGATAATGGGCCGTTACAAACCATAACGAGGTTTAAATACGTGTGTGCAGGTCAAAACAGCCACATTGGCTATACATGTGGGGTCACATAGGTAATCGGCATCATGGATCTTGTAAATCTCATCCAAAAACCCGCCAGGGTTTGGTCTCTCTTCTTTTTTCTCTCACTCTGCAAGTGTGAAACCCACAATAGAAGTGGATAATAATAAGAGGCAAGCCCTGAGCGGTCCCCCGGAAAAGCAGCTCCAGTGATGACTGGGGATATCAGGATCTGGCCCATGCCCTGCCCAGGCCCCAGGGGGTGGGCTGAGGGCTGGAACCGCCCTGCTGCCAGGAATCAGTGGCACAGGACTCCTTGGCTGGGGCTTGCAGAGGGAACGGAGCCTACGAAAGGACACCAAGCTTCCACGGGCCAGATGGGGAGTGTCCGTGGGCAGGCTGGGGATCCCCCCCGCCCCACACGTTTTCCATCAGAGGAGCGTCTGTGGTTATCTAGAGCAGTGGTGGCGAACCTCTGGCCCGCGTGCCACAGCGGGCACCCAGAGCCCTCTCTGTCGTGCGGCACACGAGCCCAGTCGCCCCAGCATCGCCCCAGCAGCCAAGCATCGGATAACAGTGCACATGGGGGCCATGCGCATGCTTGGAAAGGAGTAGTGGCGCCAGGCGATCATGTCACGAGCCACGACTCATGAGCCCTGACTCGTCCGAGCTTTCGCATGGCCGGTCAGTGCACTGCCAAGGAGAGAGAGAGAGAGATTTATTTATATTTATATTTGCTTGGACTTGCTGTGAGGTGTTTTTCCTAAACTAAAACCTCAGTGTTCAGGTTTTATTGCAGTGTTGGCCCTTTGCGATAAATAAGTGGGTTTTGGGTTGCAGTTTGGGCACTCGGTCTCTCAAAGGGTCGCCATCCCTGATCCAGAGCATCCTTCAGCAACCTGCTTCCTTTCAAACCTGTTGGACTGCAATTCCCATGATCCCCAGTCAGCACAGAGAGGGAGGGAATTTTCCCCTGATAGTTATGATGTTTTATTTATTTATTTATTTAAAACATTTCTATGCCGCCCCCATCGCCACAAAGCCTCGGGGCGGCTCACAAAGGATACATGAATACATAAATAATAACAATATAGCAATTTTTTTAAAATTGTTTAAAAAGCCCCGGTGCATTCTCGGCTAAAAATTTAAAATCCTATTAATTCAAATAATGTAACAATTAAAATAAGTTTTAAATAAAAAGGTCTTAGCCTGGCGCCGAAAAACACAGAAGGACGGCCTGGCACCTGCAGATGCTCCCTAGGTAGTGCTTTATACACAGTGCTTGTATCCACAGGTCCCTGCCCCAAGGAGCATACAATCAAGCGTAATATGCTCTTAGCTGTCATGCAAATTTTAGAAAGAAAGAAAGGAAGAAAGGAAGAAAGGAAGAAAGGAAGAAAAGAATTGCTGAGTCTTTCCCGCTCTGGCAAGCGGATGGAGAATTGGGGGCGTTTTAATTTTGCAACTGTCTGACAGATT